GAATCTCTTTATTATTTTCTGCTTTATGTAATAACTGCTTTAAATAGAACTTATTAATAAGAGAACTACATACTTCTAAGCTTGTATCTTCCATAACAAACAAATTATATAGGAATGGGTGTGGCTTTATCATGAGCCATACAATAAAGGTGTTCTTTTAATAGAACATCGAATTCTGGCCAGTGACTTTATAACCCTTGTTTGGGTATTCCCTGGCCATATACAATTGAGACATCGGAGCCAAAGGACTGGAATAAAACACTGACTCTTCAACTTGTTCTGATACATCAAATGGGTTGTCATTCGCTTCCATTTTGAAGACCTGATTTCCTTCCCAGAACATTAATTGTTGGTGCAAGGTTGATGGCACACATTGAGAGGCATGAATCCAGTCTCTTCCCAGCAAGAGAGAGTATGTAGTATCTGCGTCCACAATAAAGAAAACAGTGGAGATCTTCTTTGGCCCGACCTCGATCGTGGCAACCATCATGCCTTCAGGCTTAGTCGGCTGCCCTGTAAAACTTGTCATTTCGAATTCCACAGGAGACAGATCATGAATTCCTTTCCCTAACTTCTTGAGGGTCTTCAATGGCATAACATTAAAGACTGCTCCATTATCCACGAAAACCTTTGTGATTGGTTTCCCACAAATGTGAGCATTAACATACAGAGGTTTCAAATGGGAGATCGCACCCTCTGGAATAGGAGGAAACACAATCGAAGGTGTTTCCGACTGAGGATCGGAATCTGAGGTCTTTGCCCACTCTGTTTCCTCTAATTCACCATCTGCCAAGAATGCCCATAAAGGTTCGTCCATAGTATCATCTACCAGACTCGCCCACATCGGTTCATCACTCATCTGATTAATCTCTGTCATTCGACAAGGGATTCGTGGTCCCAGACGAGATTTAACAGATCTTGAACTTTCCTCTGTAGTTACTACTTCTTCCTTTGTCTTATCCCGAGATTGAACCGTCAAAGATTCAATACGGAATTCTTCAAGAGATGGATTGATGTTGATCCGTTCACAATGTTGGCATCTAAAACCTTTAATTATTTCATCTGCCATCCCTTTACCTTTCCCCAGTCCCGACGAACTTCCTTTGGCATAGTCGGAAACGCCTAACCCGTCGTTCGGTTGCTTTCCTGAACAGACCCGACTGGACCGACCTTTTGGAGATTGAGTGACTGCTCCCTGCTCGTTAGTCGTTTGTTCTGTAAAGACTCTAATAGACTGATCTCCTGCCAAGCGGTCGGCTGCTTTTTGTTCGTCGGTTAGTCGTTTTGCTGAAGGAACTCGTTTCCCATACTTTGCAGCATACCTGCGTTTGGCATTGCGAATCTGTGTACGATTCATACCTGGGAAACGAGGATCTATATCAACTGGTAAAGGCTTTTTATTTCGAGCCCAATTGTTCCCGACTGATCCTGTTTTTCTGGTCGGGTGGTCACGCACTAAAACCTTTTCTTTTACTTCCACATTAAAAGAACCGTCTGGACGGTCCCATTTTTCAGCGACTGGCCTTTCAACAATTTTGAATCGTTCTTCCGGTCGGCCACTGTTTGGCCGACTTCCTTTTTTTGTTTCGGGGCTTGGCTGAGTTCGTTCCCCTGTTTGTCCATCAATCGCCGAACTTTTCCTTGTTTCCGAACTTGGTTGGATGTCAACCATTGCCGTTGTTACTTTCGGAAACGGTTGCTGGTCTACACCGAGAGTGATGTATTTGAGCCGACCTGTCTTAATGGCCTTTTGAATTTCCTTCCTGAAATGAGTACACTGACTTGTAGTGTGTGTGAAAGAATTATGCCACTTACAATATGGTCTCCCTTTGATTTCTTCTTTAGTGGCAAGTATTTGCCCCTTTGGAATACGGATCTGCCCATCAGTCAGCAGGATATCAAAAATTTCATCAGCTTTCGAACTATCAAAGGTCGGTTGCTCCTTTCCTTCAGACCCTGGTACTGGCTTTAATTTAGGGCATACATAAGGTTTTCCAGAAAGGATTTCGGCTGCCATCTCTTCTGACTGATTGAAATCAAAGTCACATGTTTCTGTTCCCATACTCGCCATATGTTGGCCTCTATTACGCCTGTTATGCTGATCTTCCTCTCTGAACAAAGACTCTAGACGTCCTGCCTTGGATGCAAGACTTGCAAAATCCTCAACATCCAGGGCAGTGAGTGCCTTTCTTAAACGAGTATGCATATTCCGGACCACTAAATTGGTCATCTCTTTCTCACTGATTACCGTAGGACATCACCCCTTCATCAATCGCACCCTTTCTATAAACTGTGAAGCAGTTTCTTCTGGATACTGTCTCAATTCTAGAAGATCAGTTAAAGAAACAACTGGTAAAGGATTGAAGAATCTAGCGTGAAATGCCATCTCCAGTCCTTCCCAAGTCTGAATTTGTCCAGGAGGCAGACTTACAAACCACGAAAACGCCGTTCTAGTAAGAGATAAACCAAACAGCTGTAACTTATAAAAAGAGTTATTGCCAACTTCTCCTAATTGTGCTGTGAACCGACCAACATGTTCTATGGTGGAAGATCCATCCTCCCCTGAGAATGCATGAAAATCGGGTGGTCGAAAATTCCTTGGGAGAGGGTGTTCATTAATGATCCTTTCTGGGAAAGGTCTCTGATATGCAGGGCGGTTAGCCATCTGAGGAGTTAATCCATACTGATCCCTTAATATATGTGCAATCTCATCAGGATCTACATGAAAGCGTTGATGATCAGGAACATGGAACGGATCCTGCACAGGAATATGAATAGGATCATGTATATATCCTTCAGGCCTGTCCTCCCTTGTATTGTTCGGCTGCGAATTGGTAACCCTTGGTCCCAATGGAACATTGTTTGGAAAAGTCAAAGGAGATTTTCCCCTATCCATTCGGTTGGGATTTGTGGCACTTGGGAATGTACTATCCACGAATGATGGCCCTGCGAAATTTGCCTGTGGTCTGGACGGGGACACTCCTGGTGGCGTTTGAGTGGGTTGAAGACTAACCCTTGACAGTGCTTGATCTATCATGTTCTGCATCAGACTCTGTTGCTCACGCAACATGTTCGTTTGTTGCTCACGCAACATATTCTGCATAACCAAAGTATGCTGGTTGTTCATTTGTTGAACATAAGACCACCAATCGGTTGGTGGTTGTGGGATTTCCCCGGCATTTGGCACAATAGGTGGTGGAACGGATTCTCCCACCGGTGCCGAAGATGATTGTGGTTGTGAACCTGCCATATGGACCCTTCCGATGATTCGGCCGGATCTAAGACGTATGAAATTATCGCCGGAATTGGAATGAGCAATTTTGTCTTGCTCCCACTGTGGTCGCCAATTTGTTGATGTAATTTTTCAACAAAAATAAAGTAAAATTCAAAGATATAGAAAATATCCTTAAACTTGATTAATTAGTGCCTGAGATTAGGAATCTCTAAACACTGTATGGTACAGAAAATAAACTGGAAAATAAAAGACTGAAATTTAAAGTGGTGATCCCCAAATCTGACTTTGCTTTGTTGAAGTTGATTGAAGATGCCTTGCCAAATGATGATCCAAATCCTTAAATATTCTCTGAAGAAACTGTGCTGAAAACCGTCGCCCGAACGGTTACAACGTCTCCTTCCCAACCGTCTTTCAACCCTTCTCCTGCTGACACGTGTCCTCAGCAGACCAAAATTATCCCTATATTTCACTCTTTGAGCCGACTACAGACCTTCCGCCCTTTTAGCCCGACTGCCAATCTACAATAGTATGGGTCCGACTGCCAATCCTCCCGACTTGCAAACCATCTGACTTGTTTGAATTAGCTACAGACATCCCGACTAACAAACCACCCGATTTGTTGGTTCTGCCGCAGAATTCCGATCTGAGAACTCCCCGACCTGAGGACCTCTCAACTTGCGGACTTCCCGTCCTGAAGGCCACCCGTCTTGAGGACCTACCGACCAGAGGTCCTTCCGTCCTGATGACCTTCCGTCTTGATGACCTCCCGACCTAAAAACCTTCCGACTTGAGGTCTTTCCGTCTTGAGGACCTCCCGACCTGAAAACCTTCCGACTTGAGGTCTTCCCGTCTTGAGGACCTACCGACCTGAAGACCTTCCGACTTGAGGTCTTCCCGTCTTGAGGACCTACCGACCTGAGGTCCTTCCGTCCTGATGACTTTCCGTCTTGAGGACCTCCCGACTTGAAGACCTTCCGACTTGAGGTCTTTCCGTCTTGAGGACCTACCGACCTGAGGTCCTTCCGTCCTGATGACTTTCCGTCTTGAGGACCTCCCGACCTGAAGACCTTCCGACTTGAGATCTTTCCGTCTTGTATTTTCCTTGATTTCCACACGGTGTCCTTCAGCCGGTTCAACCAACTCTATCGCCAGGCCCATTCTCCTTTTTACCTTGGGCTTTTAACCTAATTCTAAATTTCGTACGTAACAATTAGTATTATACTATTATGATGTAGTAAAAATAAAGTAGAAATGATTAACATAATAATAATGTAATAACATTTATGTATTATATTTTAAGTTGTAAGAGTATTTGTAATGTTAATAAATAGTACATGTACTAAAAGGAAATTGATGCTTTATTACGAGACAAACTAAAATGAAAAAAATAGATAGTTTGTTAGGAGAAGAAAAAAGTACTAGTATAAAATATAAATATAAAAAATAATTTATTTTTATAAATAATAAAATAAAAGTCACAAAAAATAAAATACTAAAGAAAAAAACAATTTAAAAATATTTTTTAATTAATTTTAAATAAAATAAAATAAAATAAAATAAACCTCTAACGTCAGAGGATGCTCTCTCTTGCTTGAGAGGGATTTTGACACAATCCAAAAATACAGGATTGGAGAGAGAACCCACACTCCAATTGGAGATAGTTTTTCAATTTTCAATAAATAAATAAGAGGGGCCTAATTGTAAATAAATAATTTCTAGAGGTGAAACCGAAAATACGATAAAATACTGCTTTTTATTCCGCTTACTCTTTAAAGTCCCCCAACAACGACGAAACCCCAATTCTTCAAACGCCAACGGAGCCCGAAGCTTTGATTAGCCTTAATTAGCTCCATTGAACGCCGGAAAATCCGCCGGAAAAATGGCAGGCGAAGAGAAGCGGCATCAGATGATGCAAAATTTGTTCGGAGACCAATCGGAAGAGGAGGACGAGGTTGAATCCGAGCACGAGTCCAATCGTCAGCCTGACTATGTCTCTGTACGGGTGAATTTGTTCCTTATCTAATCCTTTTATACGCGATTTAGGTCTGCTGAGTTTGAGTATGTACCGTTAAGGTTGTCGGGTTAAATTGTTGTGTAGTGGAATATCGATTTCAATCCGCAAATATATGTAATCTTGGGTTTAATGATTATACGTTTGAGTCTCTATGCGCGTTTTTAGGGTTCCTGTTTTCCAGGTCGATCTTGAGCGAATAGGTTTTTTATTAAGGGTTTCATTTTAGATTTTTTGTGATTTTAATTTTATTTTGGTTGCATATTAGCTTTATTGCGAATTGCCTCTTGCTTTGTAAATTGGGATCGTCACCTTCTGATATTTGGGAACGGGAAAGCTGATTATTCGTGTAAACTTCTTGTCGACTTCATCTCCTTGATTACTTTCTGAAGTGCAGAAGGGATATGTGTGTTTTTTGAGGATTTGGACTCTTGAATAGTAAAATTTTGAATTTAAATAGTTGTTTTGATGTGATATAATTAGGTGTCGATACAATGTTTTTGAAAATAAAATTGATTTGTAGTATAATATAAAAAATAGTTGTTTGCTTTGATGTTTTAGGGGAGAAAATGAATTGAATAGTGAAAATTCTTAAAAAATCCACAGAAGAACGCAAAGATTTATTCGTGTTCGTACATAATTCTTTGTTGCTCTTGTAACGACCTCCAGTAAAAATGCTAAATGTCAATTGTAGTACTTTGTGCTATTTGTTTCACTTTATTGCCATTGACATTATGATTGCATCTTTCAGGACGAAGTGGATGGAGGGCCAGAACCTGAAGGCGAAGGTGAGGTTGAAGGTCAAGGGGAGGCAGAAATTGATAGTGAGGGCGAACCTAACGAGCTTGAGCAATTACATGGCGAAAGTGAGGACGAAAGAGATAAAAGTTCTCAAGAAGTTGAAATTGGTGATCAAAGGGAAGAGAGTGAAGAAAGGTACTCTGAGAGTGATGAGAAGGGAGAATATAGACAACAGGTTGCTGAAAGTAGAAGGCACGATGAGGTTGAAAGTGGATCTGAAAGGTCTGGAGAGAACCTCTATGCTGCCAATGAGGATGATGAAGTGAATCAGGCTCAGAGTCCCAGGTATATGTCCCTGGTTTACAGACTTTTCTCTCTGACCTTTCCTAATCAGTTTATATGTTGATTAATTCCATGCTCTCTTTTGTCGCCTTGCCTTCTTGTCGTTCATTGTTATGTATTTTATTGAAGCTTTGGTGCCCACTTTATCTTGCATGTATACTCTTCGTATTCTCAATCCTATTCTCCCTTGTTATCCCTAAATGCCTCAATAATTTCATGAACAATGTTTATTTTACAGTATTATTGATATAAACAAAAGGGTAAATTGCAGAATACATCCCCGTATTTTGTGAAAAGTGTGCAGAAAACCTTGTTTGTTTATTGCGTAAAATCCTGTTGTGCTAGCGTAGAGTCTGCATAGAATAGCCTTTTTGTACAAAAATAATGACGACTAAGAATCACATGCTTATTTCTAATGTAACATTCTATTAATAAAAAGAAATAAATAGATAATGTTGACGCTTATTTTTCCAATCTCATCTAAGAAATTAGGGGAAATTTTTGCATAACTTTCTAAGAATAACGTGTTTATAATATGGATGACCTTATATTTTATAGAAATAAACATTGTGAAATATGTAGATTTCTATTCATAAAAAGAAATAAATAGATGATGTTGATGGCTTGTTTTCGCAATCTTGTATAAAAAATTAAAGCACATGTTCATCTTTGAAAGCCATCTGCATAGTGGGCTCGTGATGCTTAGTTGTCAATACTTTTGGATAGAAAGAGTATTCTATTAGACTTTATGGTAACATAAAAGGGGTTTCATGCAATACTTAAAATAAGTGTATTATGTGCATTTTTTAATAAAGTACGGGGGTGTGTATTTTAATTTACCTAAAGATAAAGATTGCTTGCTTGTTTTATGTAATCATTACTGTGCTATCAGAAAAGTGTGTGATATTATGAAGTCAATTGTGCTCTAAAGACTGTACAAGAAAATACAATACAATAAAATACTTGCTTGCTATTGCTAGACGTGTCTTATCTTACTTGCTTGCCCATGGAATATTTATGCAATGCTTTAGTGAGTATATTTGCATATAAAATATCTTGCTATTATATAATTTATTTTGGAACAATATATTCCTCGAGATATCAAGTTGGTTGTATTTGTCATCTTCAGTAGGTCATCTGGCGATGAGAAAGATGAAGATCAACCATTACACCCTGCTCCAGAGATTCGAGATGTTTTTGGAGACTCAGATGATGAAGTTGAAGAACAGGCAGAATATGAAGTTCAAAATCAAATTGAAGATGAACATGTTAGTTTATTGTGGATCATTTTAAGTTTGTGTTTCCAAGAAATTTACCCCTTCTCTGTTGTTTGTATTATATTTTCACGAAATGTGATAGACATATTTTTTTCCTCATTCAGCAATCACCAATAGATGAAGTTGGAAACTATGAGAGAGATTTAATGCCAGAGAATATGACACCTGATGAAGATGCACCATACTACTCTGAAGAAGAGCATATGGAATCTAAAACCAAGGACAAACCTGTTGGTCCCCCACTGGAGCTGGAAATTCCTCTGTGCCCTCCTCCAGCTGAATCTGATAAGGTCATCATTCTTGTTTCCAATTCACATGCCCACATTGTAAATTGATAAACTTTTAATTTAGATTGAAAAGTTACATGTAGTTCATGTCCTTGAAGAAGTTCATACTGGGTTAGTATATTATTTGGATCTGATTATTTTATTCAATTCTCTTGGTTATAGAACAATACTAGGTTTCTTTGCTGCATTATTTGAGCTGCATTATAAGGCTAGCATGTGAAATCTATAATTTATGAATTAGCCTAAGTCTTGTTTAAATTGGGCAGTACATTCTTCTCAAAACTTCTGATGATCCTATAAACAAAAAAGATATGGTAATAATATGAAATAATCAGAGAAATTAGAACTTCATAGGCAACTATCATGGGACTCACAAAGTTAATTTGCATTGTTTTATTTCACCTGAGTTGATTTAGTGCCCTTTTGATAATGACATGTTAGGTGCAAAACGTTCATATACATTTGGATAGGGGATCTGATCTTGGAATTTAGACGCTGATTATTTCATTTTCTTTGTATCTTTGGTTGCAGATGCATATGATAAAAGTTTCCAATATCATGGGTATAGACCCTAAACCTTTTGATCCTGACACATATGAGGATGAAGATATTTATGTGACTGATGAATCTGGATCCAAGAAGAGGATACGGTTAGAGAACAATGTTGTGCGTTGGAGGAAGGTCAAAAATCCTGATGGGACAACATCTGTAAGTACATACATTGATCCATTTCAACCAGTTGAAATATTTAGCCATACATTTAAGTAATGTTGTTAGAAATTCAAGTATCAAAATATGTTACAACTTGGATTCCTACTGTTTTTTCCGTATTATGGCGTTAGATCATGCATTTCATTTAGTAGTTTTTAATAATCTTCTTAAAATAAGTGTTTGAAAGGAAAATTCATCTCTCCTCATTTAGATACTATTCCCGTTGTGTATGTTCTTTTCATTTACAACTCTGTTTCATATCTTACTATAGCCATAGACTTTGAATGGAACACCACTCTGGTATTGTTTCGTGCATGTCATCTATATTCAGTTTTTTTTTCAAGATGGAGTAGGAAGTCATTGTTACGTGGAGTGTACTAGACCAGAACTTTAGTTGAGACACCCCGTGCTTTTACATATTTGGGAAACCTGTGCCCAGAAATAATAGGATAGATTATATTAATATGTGAATAAAATATATCACAATAGAAATTTTGAATTCAAATTTCAAAATTAACATCTGTTGGCCCAGACTGAAAACTCAGAAGAAGCATTTAAAGGTTTTCATTGAAAAAAACTATCTTATTTAATTGGGTTTTCAGTATGTTGTCCAAGTGTAAGAAATAATCAATTAGTGTATTTGTGCAATCCGTACCTGAAAGAGTTGCTTCTGTGGAAACAATTGTGTTATAACAGTGACCAATACTGTCAGGTCACCACTTTAATGTCCCCCAGTTTCATCCCATCAACTTCAGAATTCAGATCTAATGTCAGCTCACTTTCCTATTGGTTTGCATTTCCCACCATAGAATGGAGTGCAATAATGTACTTATCTCGGTCATGGCATGTGGCAGTATGGTTCTTTGTGAAACTGTCCCTAGTATATTCTCTTGGCTTTTCTTCTTTGTCTAACTGTATTCTATTTTTATTTTTTTACATTTAGAGAGTTAGGGTTTTAAGTAGATATTAATGAAGGGCACAATGATAGGACGATAGAACCTCTGACAAATACTCAGAATATTCCTTGTGTTTCAAATGAGGTTGCAGAATTTTTCGTTAAGCGTGGTGCTAGGGGAAACATTGAATTCTCAGTCTGGATTTTGTAGTCTTTGTCTCTCTACTGATTTTTGTTGTCTTTGTAGCTTATTATTTCTCTGTATCAATAGATAACTTTACTCTTCAAACAAAATTAGAAATAAATAAATACATAAAAAATCTAGAATACATAAATAGAGGGCTGTATAAGAATAAGAGCTCCATCTAACTGTCGTTTAATCTTACCTTTCTTTAGATTGAAAGCAACGCTCGGTTTGTGGAATGGTCGGATGGCAGCTGGCAGTTACAGATCGGAAATGAAGTTCTTGATATATCCAAGCAAGATGCACAACATGAGCAGTCGCACCTTTTCTTGAGGCATGGAAAAGTAAGATATTGTTTATGGTTGGTTTATTGTAGTATATAACCTGCATATTTATTTATTTTTTGATAAAATCTCCTAAGAATTATGTGTTTAGTTGATTGTTTATGAAATCGGAAGCTTCTTTCTGAATGCATTTACTGTTGGTAGTAGTTATGAGTGATTGGTAAGAAAATCACATTCTGTGCTTTCTTCACAGGGCATTCTCCAATCTCAAGGGCGAATTTGTTCAAAGATGAGATTTATGCCGTCATCCTTGGCATCAAACTCCCATCGCTTATTGACTGCCTTAGTTGATTCACGACACAGAAAGGTATACAAAGTTAAGAACTGCATAACTGACATTGACCCTGAGAAGGAGAAGGAGCAAAGAGAGAAGGTAATATCAGTAGCAATTTTTACATCCTGTGTTATACTATTTATAAAGTGGATTGATTTAAATTATCATCTATTCTCACTTCGTAGGCTGCTAACCAATCCATCAAAGCTAATGAACTTCTTACCCGGAAGAAAGAGAAGATAAGTCGCAAATATACTCAGCCCATCCGAAGGGAGCGTCAACTCTCTCCAGGTTTCTTAGAGGATGCACTTGAGGAGGTTAGATACTTTTTCCTCAAGTAAATTTTTTTCTTGCAGAAAAAAGTACTGTATATACCATGTAATTCTTTTCCCCTTTTACTATATTATATTAATGATATGCGAAAATCTCCTTGTTTCTCTGTCCTTACACTTCAGCTTACCATTTTTATGTAATTAATATTATTTATTATTTCATGACTTGTGTTTACTTAGGAGGATGATCAAGATTATTATGAGTCTCGGCGCTCTGCTGCTCGCCGCCGCTTTGAGGAAGACCTTGAAATGGAAGCTCGAGCTGAAAAGCGCATAATTAATGCAAAGAAGGCATGCATTACTAACAGCTGATATCATGGCTAAACCAACCCCTGCGCTCAATTCACAGACACTAGCACAATCTCTTTACACCCTTACTTTTCTATAAAGGTTTTTTTGTTGCTTGAGCTTAATAGATTTTTTATTTTTAATTTTCTCAGGGACCTAAGGACATTCCTCGAAAGTCTGCAATGCCAGCTTCACGATCATCTAGAAGGCCAGTGGATTTCTCTGATAGTGAGAAGGAGGAGTCTGAGTATGAAACTGAGGGGGAAGAAGAAGAGGACTCTCCACAACATAGAAGAAATGAGGAAGCAGAGCAGGATTACGAGGAAGACGAAGAAGAGAATGAGCAGAGAGAGGAAGAGGAGAATTATGCCGAATCGGAAGAAGAGACAGAGGTAATGAGTGTCTCAATTGAACTTATTTAGTGAGAGTTGATAATTGTTTAAATTTACTCTATTCTATTCATCCACTGCACAAAGCGCGAATTCAGTAACATTTATTAGATTTTATTAGGGTTAGTTAGGATTAATTACCTTCTTTGATTTTTTATGTTTTACATAATTAGATAAGGATGTATAAAGTTTTACTTTGTTTTTATTCCTAAGTTTCTCTAGCTCATAGCTGCTTTACCCTCCTGTTTTTCATACCTCCTTTTGCCCTCTCCCACCTCCTTGCCCACTGCACTGCTGGTCTTCTGCCAGGTAAAGCAGCCTGCAGCCACAGTTTCATATGAACTTTTTTTTTTTTTTACTCAGTTAACATATATTTACCTGTCCTCTGTTTTGCATATATATACATAATAAAATACTTGAATTATTACTTTTGTTTGTTGAGAATGTGTTGTATTAATTTCATATGTGTGGATTATCTATACTAAAAATATACTAATATCTATAGTGTGTGCCATGAGTCACACCATCGCCATTCTCAACTATGATATTACCTACTCACGTGTTGTACTAGTATCTACTGGATAACAGAACCTGAATTTGAATGAGGTCTGAAGCGCTGTGGCATCACATCATATTTATATATGCAAACTTGAGTTAATGGCAGTTTGCTTGTATTTTATTTGATTTTATTTTCAAATGCCAAAATACATCCTTCGGGCAATAGCTTGACTACGAAATAGACTAATTTTTTAAGTATCTGCATCTCTCTCTCTCTATCTCTCTCTCTTTCACACACACATGCGCGCACACACACTCACCCCTCTTCATCTTCCCGGCGCACTTTGAAGTAATTCAATGATTTTGAAACTTGCATATGTTTTTGTAATTGTTGATAGTTAATCCTTTTGTCTTACTTTCTCAATCGCCAGGAGCCGAAGCACAAGTCTAGGGACTCTAGAGGTAGCCTCAAAAGGAAGGATATTGAATCAGATGAAGATTCCCCTCCCAGGAAAACTACAACAGCGCATCGGCGAATGAAAATGGTGTATGAGAGTGATGACGAGTGAAGCCGGATCGTCTATTTGAGAAAGTAAGTTCCACACCTTGCAACTTGAAAAACTTGTAATTGTGTTTGTTTGGGAGTTTGGAGTTTGAGTTGAGATTTAAATAGTAAAAAATTTGAATTGAATTAGTTGTATGATGCGATATAAATAAGTATTGATATAATATTTTGAATGTAAAATTGATTTTTAATTTAATATAATAAATAAAAAAATAAGTGTTTGATTTGATTTTTTGGGGACAAATTTGTATGAATAGTAAAAGTTCTCCAAAATCCTTTTAACAAATTTAACATTGTGCGGTCTTATCTTTTGAGTTTCATTTTTTCAATGCACAATGATCAAATCTATGCACTTCAATCAATCACACTATCAATCTGCCCTTAAACGTTGAACCTGCATAGCTATATACATTTTTTGCATGTTTGAATATGCCCACCTATTGAAGTGTTCCTATATATATATATATATTCTGCATTAATTTGTACATTAAACATGTCTGCTAGTTTGTAAGGTGTTATGGTATTAGGACCAACAAACTCCTCTTATGGTAATTTGAGTAGCATTTATTTTTTGACAATAATATATGTAGTCTCTTTAAACAGCACACTATTCCAATCCTTGGCTCTTGGTTACTTACTTGTCGCTGTTGTAAACTGATTCTACTGGATGTTTTTCATAGTTGTGTTTCGCATGGAAAATTAGAATATTTTTATAAGAAGTTGTGAAGCTACATAGTAGAGGAAAAAAAAAAAGATAGAAGTCATAGAACAAGACCACAAATTCCCAATAATTAATTGGTCAGCTGTAAAAATTAGCTGCACTACATGTCGAAACAGCCGCCATTGTATAAAATCCATCTGAAAACTTGCTTCATAATTCCCTAAGGGTGCGTTTGTTTGGGGATTTGGATTTTGAGTTGGGATCTGAATAGTAAAAATTTTGAATTGCAATAATGGTATGATGCTATATAAATAGGTGTGATGTTTGGAATGTAAAATTAATTTTTAGTATACTATAAAAAAATGAAAAATAGTGTTTGATTTGATGTTTTTAGGGAGAAAATATTTGATGAATAGTAGAATTTTGGGGAAATTCAATAACCGAACACACCGTTATATGCAAACTCAATTTCATCTTTGCAGGATACTTTCAAGAGATTAATGGATCACCTCTTCCAAGTCTGGATCCAGCCAAGAAACAATTTGATGGTAAGGTTGTAATTTGATCATCGATTCTTTGCATTTTCAGTCGCCTTGGAATTTTGCCTTTCTAGTCGGTTTGTGTTGGCATTTCTTTCCGTGTAAATGATTAGTCGAATTGGGGACAGATTCATTACATGTGGAAATTAAGACATAATATCTTTGTCATCGCTGGTCTTTAACAATGATTTCGGCCATAGTATAATATAGCGAGCATGTAAGTTGCTTTCGGTTATAGGTCCCAAATGATTTTTACTTGATCAGCTTGTCATAAGGTTACTATGCTAAGTTGGTTCGAATATAACAGATTTGTATTTGGTGAAATAAGATTTTGATTTAATAATGGGTGTGGTTTTATTTTGTTTGGTTTGTAGGATTTGTATTTGTATTTTTTACTGTTTTAGTTTAAACAATGATCATTGGAAGTTTTGTGTACTGTGGGTTTGTATCCAAGTTATATTTTTTGATACGATGTTTTTTTTGAAAAATTCGTAATTTTAAGAATTGTTTAGGTTGAGTAGTAAAAGAAATAGTTTGAATTTTAACCTAACCAGTGTTTTTTGTTAGCTAGATTTGGCTGTTGAGTTTAAGGTTTTGAAGGGTAAAATTTTGTATTTGAAATAAATATGTATTACTCCTTGGTTGTTCGAATTTATCTTCATTTTTTAAATATTTTTTTAAGTAAAAATCATTATACTTAAAAGTAATAATTATTATTAATTTTTATTAAAATTTGTGTCATGTCAAATGAACATATATTTGCATGATGAATGAAGTAATATTTTGAATGTAATAATAATATATATATTTTAAAAAATATAAATTTTGATTTAATATTTGGATGGAATAGTAATTATAAAAGTACTCTTTTCATTTCATATATTTCTTTTTTTTGAGTTATGAGAGATAAATTAAGTCTAATTAATTATTTATATTTTAAAAATATTATAGATATTTGGGAAGAAGGAATACTATTTTTATAATATTATTTTATTATTTTCTGTTAGTATCTTAAAAAATTATGAAGTAATATATATAATTAATTATTTTTTTAAAAATATATGTTTATATTTCAATAAAATATATTTTGAATATTATTTTATAAATAATAAAATTTTATATAATATAAATAAAAAATACTCTTTTCGTTTCATTAGAAATGTGACATTTGTTTTTTGCAAACAAAATACCTTAATGAAAATAAAAAATGGTAACTTTTTTAGGGAGTATAGTATTTATTTAGTTATAATTAACTTAAATGAGTTTTTATAAACAAATAGTACTTCCTCCGGACAATTTTTTTTTTTTTGAAATATAATTATACTCTTTAATCTCATTTTAAATTTTAAATTTTATAATTTTTTAATCTTAATTAAACTATTTAATTATTTTAATCATAATCCACAATTATTTTTATTATATGATAATTATTTTTACTGATTAATACAAATTTCCGTATCTACATTAATTAGGTCCATAATACACGGACTGAGGGAGTATTAAATTGTAAATATAAATAAAAATATTTATTTATTAATAAAAATAAACTTTTTTGAATGAACCTAGAATATTAAGATATTATAAATTTAATTAAAATAATTTATATTTATCAAATATATTTAAATAAATCAATTTATTAAAAAAGAAAAATCATATGTTAGACGGAAAAATGGAGGGACAATATTCTATGGAAGGATTATTAAAAATCACTTTTGTTGTGTTTTTTTTTAGGTTTTATAGTATGTTTTTACTATGTGTAATGTAATTTTTTTTAAAAAAAATATTATATCAAATAATTATTATTTTTTATATAATGTTATAAATTTATTATACATTCGAAATATCACATCAATATCAATTTCTATTTATATCGTATTAAACCACTATTTAAATTCAATTTTTTTGTGTTCAAATATCCAAACCAAAAAGATAAAACCCACAAAAAAGACACCCAATTCAAATTTCGAAATAATTTCTTTCCGTTGCTAATCGTAATTACAAATCCTCCATTAAACCCTCGTTAGTTATTCTCCCAAATTGCGCAGAAGAACGCCGGCCGGTGCTAAAATGGCGATCCCGTCGTTCGTTTCACAGCCAAATTCGATACGGGCCACTGTTCCTGTCGTCGTCGCGGCTTCCAGAGCTAGTTTCAGTGATCTCTGAGGATGTCGAATTCATTTTAACGCTGCTGGGATTTGGTGTCCTGTTCCTACTCCTTAAGCTGTATGGTAGCTTCTTTTCTTGTGCGCTGGAGGCTCATTCTCATTCCTTCAATTTTGCAACAATTGAAGGAACGCTGTGGGGTTTGGTTCGTTGCCTGCTTGTTTAGGGTGTTCTAATTTTTTAATAATTGTATTTCCATGGTTTTGATCAGTTTCTGCTCACTTCATTGTTATTGGAATGGGCCTTTATTTTTCATGAATGTTGTGTTTGTAGACTTGTAGTAATCTTTTCCTGTTGGAGAGGAATTTGGCTTAGAAGAATTTGCCTTTGTGAAATGCTAATTCTCATTTCTCAGCTTGAAAGTGGGAAAATAATTCATGGAGTTGTGTAATCATTTCGACGCTAAGTTTTTCCTTGTAATCTCTTTTCCGCTTCTATAATGGAATCATTGCAAATTGGTCACTCTTTCTTGCTTGTGCATGTGTGTTTAATTTGATTTTGAAATGTAAATCTTGTGTTTCTTTTCTTTACATTTGTGTTGTGGATCCATTTTAGCTTGATATCCCCCCACACGCCCACCCCACATAAATATTGCATCAACTCTTCCTTTGGGTTGATGATTTGCTTTTCGTTATGTTATTTATTTTGAGAAACCTCTGAAAGTTCTATGAGAGTCCAGATTTCTGTACTTAATTGGTTTAACAGATAAATAAACCTAAAGGGAAAAGGAAACTTGAGAGAAGAAATTATTGGATTTCAGTTTCATTTCCATCCTTTATGACTAATATTTTAAAGTTTAGTTTCGGACCATTTTAATCATTTTATTTTTCAGTCCGAAAGTCTTTGCTGCTGAGGATCTTTTGAAGGTGTGAATACCTGTTGCGCCAGTGATTTTATCAGTCTATATTAGAAAAGATGCAAAACTATAAGTGGCTAATTAATGTCCTGTGAAACAAAATTCAGTGGAGTTCTCTAAACAGCAAGATGAGTGTTTTCTCAGTTCACATTTTTATGCATTTACTTATGTGGTTAAATGTATTACAGTTTTTGCCTAATCCTTACTTTTCCTAGTTTTTGTGCAAGAGCTATAAACTCTCATTTGAACGTACGTCTTGAGTTCCTGCTTGCTATCCTTGTTTTTGTTCTTTGCTTGGCCAAGCATTATGTGAAAATTGTGAATAGCGATTCCATATTTGGTACCAAGCAGGAAATCGTTGACATGCTGTAGTTGCATGAAAACTTTCCAGTATGCAATAGATTGTTATTAGTATGATTGTTGGGATAATTATGGTGGAGTAACATAAAACAAAATTAAGGTTAACAATGTCTTTTTCATTGATGTTAATAGACGAGAGTTCAGATAAGGATGCCCTTTTGGAAAGCATCAATGTCATTAGAAAGTGTTATTGAAAGATTAGACCTTTTTTGAAGGATTTATACGAATAAAATATAAGGCGAAGGATGTCCTTTTTGAAGATTTGTCGTAAAATGTTGTTGATCCATGAAATCTGTATGAAATCTTTAGTAAATGACAACATAAATGATAGATCACAGTGAATCTCAGAATACTCTGCACAGATATATTGCTGTCGCAGATTTGTTTCCTGAGGTTATCTTATTAATCCAATGTAAAGCACAAAATTACGTTCTGTTTACTTAGTAAATATGCGCGAAACCAGACGATTTCCAGAAAAAAGTTATCAGAAACGCAGAAACTGACTTAGCTTTCAAAATTCACATGCAAACACATAGTCACAATCTTACAGACAAAACCAGACTATTCCCAACACTGACACACTGCATCCACGTGTAAGATTTACTTGGCGACATTTACAAAGAAAATAGAAGATTGTAGTGCTCTGCAAAGAAACTGTGTAATTACTCTACATTTATAACATTTAACCAATGCTCCTAATCCCAACTTTAATATCTACGACCACTGTACATCACACAAATGCACCTAACGTTTGGTGAAAGCCTTCAAAGCATTTCAGAGTGCTTATATATTTTACACTCATTTCACATCCGCACACAGATTCGCCTCCACCAGATGATATCATATTCATATCCTTCACGCTCAATGTAGTCTACCCTTAGTTCACAACCCTCACTGGTAAATAGAATCGCAAGAAAGCTCCTTTATACAAAGCAATAAACACCGAAGCACACTGCTTAGAAAGAAAAGAAAACCTAAAGATATGAAGAAGATACAGTTCATGCGGAATCTTTTTGGTTACATGTCGGATGAGGAGGAGGTTAGCTTAAAATTTAAGTCGAATCCCTGGATAGTTTCCTCTCTGTACGGATCTTTTTCTGGTGGTGCTAACTCTGCCATTTTATCTGATGTTTTTGTTGCCGTACAGAGGCATTGGTGATTTTTAATTTTTGCTTTTCTAACATTTACCCTTCTTCAGCTGTGTTATTCTTACGTATTTTCACCTCTGTGTCTTCCATTGCCATGATTTATTCAAATACTTTTAAGGATTTTTAGTCTTCATTAAAGATACTTTTGATCTTGCCTCTTTTTGGTTATTAAATTGTGCTTTGATGATGATCCTTTAATACAATATTTTTTTTTAAAATGTGCATACAATTCTTGTGTGCGCGTCCGTGTCTAAAATTTTTTTATGTGATGCACTTCTAAGAGTCTTTTATTTCTCTTTTGAATTTTAAATCGAGTTATGACTTGTGAAAACGACTTAATTCTTAACTAAAAGTTTTATTTGTGTATCTGCTTGTCATTTAGATCACTTAGATTGTGCATATATTAATTGTGTTACCCTCGGTTTATGATAGTGAACCTTGGTGCCTGGAAATAGGCAGTTTGTATTGACACTTTCTATATTCCTCGCTTCATGGTATTAAATTCTGCGACTAGCTTTATATGCTCAAGTTATCTTTTGTTTTTTTGGTGAACATTTTCCCATTTATTTTCTTGTGCATCACATTTCTGAAACTCTTCTGTGGTATATTCTTCTACTACGGGTATAGTTCCATCAATGTCCCATTGTTCACTGATATACTCTTTAGTTAGAAAGCTGAATAACATCATAGCTGGACAAGTAAGATTCAACTTAGAGGGAACTGATTGTATTGTACTACTCATTCCTATTGGATTTTCACTTGCTTCTTCAGCAATGGTCTGTAGAATTATCACATTTCTCGTTCATATTAGCTTCAGAAGATATGGTGTTTTTCATTGGTTTACATTCTCATTTTCTGGATTTGGATACATTTCTAAAAGTATAAAGGCAATGGGGATTCAAACTATCAGGATGAAGGTGATGCTGAAGTTAGCAGAAGTGTGCTGAAGGTTATCCACCAATATAATCTTAGAAGCTCAAGGTCCTGTGCTTTTATTTCTTTCTTTTTTTCTTTTTTTTTATCCCTTTCTTGCACTGATGTTTGATGACATTTTGTTTCTATGTGATTTGTTGACTAATATCAACGACATGTCTTGCTCATGTAGTAGCTGGAAGTGGGTTGGTCCTTTTATGATTTCTTACTTATGTATATGCTTACTTTTGCTCTTGCTCTAAATTAGTGAACACTCTGGGCTTTATTATTTATGTATCTTTTTCTGTTTTGACTTTATTTTGTTTGTTTTTATTTCGGTTTGAGTAAAATGCACAATCTTCCAATCACAATCGGGAATTTATACCCATTGGTTCTTTGAGAGGCAAAAGTTGCCATGGGGCTATAAATGTCCTCTGTATTTCATATGCCTATTTGTTTTTTATTATGTTCTTATGGTTGATCTTTATAAAAATTTAAAAGTGATTTCTGCCTCATTGTCACATATTTTTATCTAAATCGCACTCAAGAAAGAGAGTGATGGTATGAGGGTGAATGAGAAGAACTTGCTTTCCTTTGTCTTGATGTCCCAATCTTTGGTGCTTAATAAGTTTCTTGATTTCAAGTTTGATAATAACTAAGAATTTTGCTTTGCTCATCTGCAACTTGGTGAATTTTGTACCCACTCTATAACACCGTAACATATTCTTTTTCTTTATAATAATGGCATTTGGTTTAAATAAGAGTTGTTAGAAAGTTAAATAAAATAATCATGGCTCCTATTAATTAAATACTCTAAACAGTGTCTATAGAATGAGGTTACCAAAAGCATTTCTTTGCTAATCGTATGGCTCTCAATGCAGACTCTCTGATGACGAGAAGGAAAATGATTTAGGTTTCTCTTCTGCTGCAATAGTTCCAGACGTTCAGGGAGATTCTGATGATCATGAACAAGGGGAGTATGCAGTTTGCCCTGGAAGTAGAGAGAAAAATGTTAGTGTAAGTTTCTGAACATATTGTATTTCTTATGGATGATATTATTGCATACTTGCACTCATCAGTCATCTGAACATATTTACATTTCATAGAGGTTCTCAAACTACAAAATTAAACTGCATCAAAGTGGAGGTTGAATGTACTCTACTGCACTAATCTTTGCTATTGCTTGGATTCACTTCAGAAATGGTGTTACGGGCATGTTAATATGTATAAGTATTGTCTGTGGTTTCAAGTTTCTATTTGTGTCAGAACACATAGATTTTTCCATTTTTTTTATTTTCTTATTTGCTGGTTTTGAATCCATTATCAAATTGGCTGATTGTTCTAGAAGAATAAAGAGGATGAGGGTGAAGGCGATGCAGAAGAAGTTAATGCAGTTAGTAGAGGAGGTCTGCTGAAGGCCACCTGTCAGAATAATCTCAGAAGCAGGTCTTGTGCTTTTATCTTTCTTGTTTCCCATTACCCCCGCCTCCCTCCCCCCGCCCCCATTAACACAGCAACCTGTACTAATGACATTTACTTTCTGTGTTATTTGTTAATTAATTTGTGAAATGGCATCTATTTCTCATGTGGTAGATGGAGATGGTTAGCTGCTTAGCTGATTCCAGCTGAATTGTCATCACTCTGCCAAACTACTTTACATTTGACAATTACCTTTTGTTTTCTTTTATTTCTCATGAACAAGACCCTGCTTTTTACATTCTATGAAAAATCCTTCAATCACAAGTTTAAGAAACTTCATGCCCATTGGTTTATTAGAGGCAAATCATGCTGTAGGGAAGTCCTGTTTATCTCACATGCTTCTGTTTTGAATATGTTCACTATGGATCCCGACAATTTTAGAATGATGTTTGTTTCACTGAAATATATATATATAATTTCTCAGTCATGCTCAAGAAAGAACATGATGGTACAAGTTTAGTGAAAAAAAACAATAAAATTGTGCTTGCATTTTACTTGAGTTGGCTTGGTCTTAATTTTCTGATCTTTACTTGAGTTTCCTGATTGCTCGTTTGATGATAATAACTCAGAATCTAACTTTGCTCATCTGCAACCTGGTGAATTTTGTTCCATTCTATTAACATTTCCAAGTTGCAGTTTGCTACTAAAGTTTAACATTTTATTATTTTATTTTATTTTTTTTTTTGGGAAAAAAATATGAGGTGCATTAGATTACAAATCACAACTAAAGCTTATCTTATTCATCCTTTCTGATATTGGCCTTTGATTTTAAAATTATGGCTGTTAGAATTTGGAGTAATGCAAACAGGCACTTTGTATAGATGAGTTACAACCATTATATATTTCAATTTGCATATCTAGAATCCTGCTATAGGCAACAATTTACTTCAGATCATTTCTAAACCTATACCGAGGGAAGAAAATTCAGAGTCGCGTGCTGTGATAGAACTTGATTCTAAACAAAATTTTGAATGTTCTGCCTTAAATTGCATATAATTAATGAGATTTAATGTATAACCTGCAATATTGATACAGATTAGGTTTCCAGATTGACTTGTAAAGAATTGGCACAAGTGACTAATGATGGCTGGGTGAAGAAAGACTAAAGAAATAAATCTCAATTTTTTATATCCAATGGACATCCAGAAATCATAGTTGTCTTGACTCGTGCAAATATCCGAACTAGGATAAAGAAATAGTGAATAACCAAGAGACACATTATTGATCACTGAAAAAAATATCTACAATACATATGGTAACTCAAAGGTAGAGTTTTGATGAAAAGCACATGGTATGATACCATTTCAGCATTTAGAAAGAAAACAGAATAACATATAATTTAAACATTTGCTATAGAACATTGTTAGAAAAATATAATAACTGTAGTAAAACTAATAAAAAACTTAATAAAAGTTCATATCCAAACTGATCAATTAGGAATGATAGATGAAGTATATTCTAATGTGAAGTCTTAATTTCAATTCAGCTTTGAATCTTCGTATAAAAGCTGATGAAATACTGGGATTTCAAAACATTACAGTTCAAATAGACTAATCAACCTCGTAAACCATATTCCACTCTACACTAGTGCTTATGTGGAATCTTCTACAGTTGCTGCATATTTGAAGTTGTAGTGTAGATACGGAACTAATCAGTTTTCAGTTTATTAGCTATATACATATACATATGCCTATTGTTCATTTATCTGTTCTTGTTTTGTTAGCCTGATGGTTTATCACTTGATTTCAGTATATATGATTTGTTTTTGTAGAAGGGATAAGCTGGAACAATATGGAAATTATTAAAGGGAAACAAAAAATCTATGTGTATTTCTGTATTTCTTGTAGCATTCCTTCAATCCTGTATCTGTCATCTTCTAATTCACTGCTTCGATGGATTATCAAGCTTCAATGAGAAACTGTTTTTATCCTTCCAATTTTTTCATTACTGTGATATTTGTATATTGACCCTCGTTGTAGATCATCTCATGAGGAGAAGGAAGAACCCTTAGCTGAGTCCACTGCTGTGGTGCTCCAGGATGTTTTTGGAGATTCAGATGATGATAAACAAGAGTATAAATTTGCCTCTGAAATTAGTGAGGAAAGTAATAGGGTAAGATGTGAACATATTATATTTCTTACGGGTATAATAATATTACATTCCATACACCACTCATTTTAGTGTACGTCATTTTATGGAGCTCTCTAAAGTGTGAAAAAGTTGACGGTAAAGAGAGTGGAGAAGAATTCACTGAAATTGAACTAGTCGGAAATGCATTGTCCGCAGTAGTGTATGAAATTCCTCTGCGCCCTCCTCCAGCTCATTCGGATCAGGTATGTTTGACATCTTCTTGTTCTCTTGCAGTCATTGTAATTCTGTATTATCAGTATATACCAACATACAGTGTTTATTCTTATCTGATGGTTTTTCAATTGTCTATAAGAACAATGTCATGAATTATTTCTTGTTAAAAATGCCCAAAGTTTTGTCAGTTCAATATATTTTTCCTAGCTTTTGAAAATGGCTGGTAATGCTATTTTATTTGTGGTCGGCAGATGGCACTTGTCAAATTATCCAGCTTAATTGGTATTGATCCTAAACCATTTGATCCTGAAACATATGTTGAAGACGAATTTTATGTAATTGATGAGTCGGGATGCAAGAGGGTTATACCCTTTACAAACATAATTCGCTGGAGGGTAGTCAAGAATCCTGATGGAACTTCTTCAGTAAGTATTTTAAGTAACAGGTTAATGATGCATTTACAAGCTGAATATGATTGTGAATTTTTAGCAACCATTTGATTTATGTGTATATGCATGCAACTAGATGTATGCAACACGAAGTGCGGACATGCTGATCTACCCAATTTTAGATGCTTTAGATCTTGCATCAATGGTCCAAGGGACAATAAATTCACAATATGATTTAACAAGTTTTTTAGTTACTCAAATGTGCAAAATATATGAAATCTTTTGACATTGTTGAGTATATCCCACATTGGAAAAAATGTTAGGACTTCCTTAGTTTATAAGGGTGAAGGACAACTTTACTTATATCCAATTCATTTTCAGTTAGAGTCCTGAATCCTTCCCTAACATGGTGTCAGAGTTACAGTGTCCGTATTGAATATTGATCCTGGATAGAATTTCGAGATAATATTATCTCGAAAGGGAAGTGTTGAGTATATCCCAGATTGGAGAAAATATTGAGAGTTCCTTAGTTTATAATGGGGGTGAAGGGCAATTTCATTTTCCACCAATTGGTTTTAAATTGGAGCCGGAATCCCTTCTTAATAGATGTATTAGAGGTGGTGAAAGGAGTCAGAGAACACCGGTGTGAGTTTCTTAGACTGTTCAAAGTTCAGTACTTGCTCAACTTTGATTGACAAAGGCATATTTGAATATTTGACGAAGTCACTACTCTTTCTGGATCCGTCTCAATATGTTGCTTTTAGATGAAGTCACTGCTTATTAAATGATCCAAATAAACGAAAATGTGCAGGTTGAAAGCAATGCAAGATTCGTGACATGGTCAGATGGGAGCAAACAATTGTTTATTGGAAATTCAGCCTTTGATGTGTCTGAGGATGATGTAAACGAGATCCAAGCCCATCTTTTCCTTCTGCATGGGAAGGTACCTTCTTGAGTAATATGAAATAATAGAATTGAACATTTGTCTGGAAGATGAATGCTCATTGTTTTCCCTTGTCTTTATTAACTTCCTCATCTCCTGTGTCGACTTGCAGGGAATCTACCAAGGACAGGGAAAAATCTCCAGGACGATGACTTTTGCGCAATCTTCTCAATCTTCTGATACTCACCACCATGGAACTGCCCGAGCCAATTCAAGGCATAGAAAAGTAGGAAAAGTTCAAGAATACATCACTAATGTTGATCCTGAAAGGAAGCTGTGGGAGATAAAGGTACATGGTGGAGTATTCTTTTTTTTTCCCTTCTTCCATGAAATTTGTGGTTTTACGTGAGCACTGAGATTAAAAAATAATAGTATTTAATGTTAAAGTGGAATAAGTTAAAAGTAAAATAAAGATATTATGAAAAATTTATGAAAAAATATTGATAAAAAAAGTAGCGGGATACATAGAAAAAATAGTGGCAAAATCGTTATTATGGGATAAAGTAATTTATTATAAATAGATTATGCATGAGTTGAACTTAAGTACTTTTTATTTTGTAAAGCATGCAGTATCCTGCTTTCTACTAAACCTGTTTCGATGATTTTTTAGGAAGCAAAGAAAAAAATCAAACTTAAAAAACAAAATGGGGGCAAAAACAATGTGCTTGGTTTGCGTATTCCAAAGGGCCGAAGAAGCCAAAGGATCATCTGCTGACTTATGATTTCCAAAGGAAGCCATAAATATAAGGTATCGATTTTTTTGGCCTTTCTTTCTACCAACTGCTGTTGCAAAGGTAAAAAGTTAATATCGGGTGCCTAGAAAGCTAAGTTGCATTTGAGTAGAGCATAATATGTGCAAATAAGGTTTTTCCATCACTTTTTAGTAGAATGACTTTTACACAATCATTCATTATTTTCAGGGATAAAAAGTTTCTCTCGTCGCACAAAATCTTCAGAGATGGTTAAGTTGAGGTAGAACTTAGGAATGAAGGAAAGGGAGCTGTGAATGTTGGGAATTCAAAGCTGAGGTTAGTTATAATTCCTTTGTCGAACTCTTTTATAATCCTTTATTCTGGAACAAAGTACAATTGTGTTATGTTTTCCTTGAAGAATTCTATGTTTTTGGGAGAAAAGGTTCGAACCTTTTCTATGTTAAATTTACAATCTGCATTTCAATATGTTTTCTATTTGCGCCATGTGAATTTAGGGAAAATTGCAAAAATATCCCGTACATATGTCTAATTATTAGATTTGTCTTTTAATTGTTACCGTCGCAAAATATATTCTGCGAATTTCACAATTTCGCTATTTCAGTATATTGATTATGCGCGAGTTACAGCCTACCAAATTCACGTTGTTGTCATTGAATGACATGTGGCACAATATTGAATAATATAAAATATGTCCGAGATATTTTCAGCGAAATTGTGAGATATACATGATATATTTTGCTAAAGTGTCCATCAAGTGCAAGTCAACGCCACTGGAATAGAAATTTTACGCAGGGTTAATGTACTGAAATAGTAAAATTGTGACACAATGCTGGAATTATGGTGATAACTAAAATATAAGAGTATAATTGAGTATATATATAATATATTTTTTGCAATTTCCTTGTGAATCTACGACTCCATGAATGTTTAGATACAACTATTATATTTGTGCCATGTGATATGATTTTCTTGAGATGTCTTTGAAGGCTTTGTTGATAGTAAAAATTTGAATGAAAAATAGGTATTCAAAGTGTAGCAAAAATAGCAATTATGGGATAAGCCCTATCTATAAAATAATATTTCCTCCAGCCAAATTCAAAGTAGCATTTTTATTATTTTCGTTAATTCTATTCAAAAGTATCAACTTTTTTTTAGTAAAAATAATCATACATTAATACCGAAATATTCAACTTTTTTTTTTTTTTTAATTACAAACGACCCTCCTCAAATGGGATACAGAGAGTACAATTTATGGTATTTTTAAAATCTATTGATATATTTTTCTAAAATTGTAATTATAAATATTATGTGTTAAAGTCTTAGGTTGTGTTTGAAAATTATAAATGTCAATTATAAATAGGAATTTCTAATATTCATTCAATGTTATTTGATAAAACTTCGAATATATATGCAGAATTATACATTTAAATACATACAGTGTTTACTAATGCGGTTTCAGTTTCGGTTTTTGTTTTACTATTCTAAAAAAATTTTCTCCAAAATATCAAATCAAATATCTATTTTTTATTTATTATATTAATTAAAATTTAATTTAATTTTCAAAATATCTCATCAAATAATTATTTTAATTTAAAATTTTACTGTTTAAAACCAAAATTCAAAATCAAAATCTCAGAAATAAACACAACCAATTATATCGTTAGTGCTTAGTTAGGAATACTTACATCAACATAAAAACACAACCAATATTAATTCATTGCACTAAAATTGGATGGGTAAATTATATACCACCCTCTTATGTTTTAGTAAATATGCACACAACGGGGGTGTTTTGTGTATTTTTACTAAAACACAATGGGGTGTTATATAATTTACCCAAATTTGATATATGTAAAATTATTATATTATTTTTATACTTCCTCCGTATTACCTAATTTGTCTACTATTTTTATTTTGATTTGTCCTACATAATTTATTTATTATTTTCTAAAATATAATTATACATTTTAATCATATTTTAAAATTCATAATTTATATTTTTTTAATTTAATTAAATTATTTAGTTATCTTAATTTTTATTTATAATTATTTTTACTAATATATTTTTTAATTACCGGCTATATAGTACTTAAAACTTCCTAATAAAGTGGACAAATTAGTTGAGACTAACAGTAAAATTTAAATCATTAAATTTATCACATAAATAATTAAGTGGTTGAACTAAAATTAGCAGGGCATTGCCTGTTCCTCAACAAAGTGTACCACCAAATACATTTTGTGTTTGCTCGGAGTTTTGAATTTTAAACTGGGATTTGATTGGTAAAATTTTTGAATTTGAATAGTTGTATGATGTGATATAAATAGGTGTTGATGTGATATTTTGAATATAAAATTGATTTTTAGTATAATATAAAAAATGAAAAATAGGTGTTTGATTTGATATTTTTGGAAAAAAAAAATTGAATGAATAATGTAAATCCAATCCAATCCAATCCCCAAACAAACACAATTCCCTAACAATTTACAACTTTTTACACCATAAACAATAAATATATTTAATTTGAGTGGTTTGATTTAATTCTTATTAATCTCCCTTTTTTGGGTTTTATAATAAATTTTAAAATAATAATATTTTATTAGTTAACAAAAGTATGTAAGAATTTTTATAGTATATTTGTAATTCAAATAAAAGTTGAGGGTATTTTGATATTAGTATATAATTAATTTTTTAAAAATAAAGAATGATACTTTGAAGTAAGTGAGACAGACAAAAATGGTAAAAAAATGATATTTGGAATCGGAAGAGAGGGAGCACATCATTTTTTTCTCATATAAAAAAATATTATCTCAAAGTATTTTACTAAACAAACACACCCAAAGAATACTGTAGAGAATATAAAAATAATAAATTTGTACGATATATTAATATTTTTGGAAAATATATGTATTTTTTTGTTAAAGGAACACACCATAAATGTAGGTAAATGATACTTAGTAAATAGTTAAAAATGTATTAGTAGAATTAATTATTATATAATATAAATAATTATATATTAAAATAAAAATAAATAATTGATTTAGGGCCATTTGAATCCGCTTAAAAAATAAACAGAAGCAAAAAAATAGAAGCAGTTGGAGTTTGTGTTTGGATAAATTATTATAAAAATAACTTTTTGTAAAAAACTGTATTGTTAGTATTATAGTATTTCTCTATATAACTTTTATAATTTAAATTTTATTAATTATATTTAAAGATTTTAAATTAAAGTATAAAAAATATATTTTTAAAAATTTGGTTATTTATATTTTAAAATTTTAACTTAAGGATAATATATTAATTATAAATAAAATTACAATATAATATTAAATTATTTGTATGTTATACTTTATTTTAAAATCTTATAAATTATATTTAATTTTAGTATAATTAAAAAATTTATATATTCTTATTTAAATTTGATACTTCAATTTTAAATTTAAATTCAAATATAATATATAAATTAAAAATAATAATATAATTACAGTTTAAATTTTTTATTAAAATATAATATATAAATTAATTATTTTTATATTATATTATAGTATTGTATTATTTTTTACTTATTTATTATTATTATTATTATTATTATTATTGAGGATTAAATAATAATTTGGACTGAAAAATACTTTTGCTTATTTCAGAAGCTATTATCAATATAGTTCTAAAATAAACATTTTTCAGCTTTTGCATTTGGACTGAAATCAATGCAAATATGTACAAACTATTGTTTTAGAAGCAAAAGCCAAAGGCTTTTCCTAGAACCCAATTCAAACGGAGCTTTAATTAAAATTTAAAAGAATTATTGATAATAAAATTTAAAATATTATTAAATTGTATAATTATTTTTTATAAAAAAGAAAAAATAAATTAAGTGAGACTTTGAAATATAAATAGTAAACGAAAAAAATGAACACAATAGAATATTAAATATGTAGAAAAAATAATAATAAATTACTTGCTGGGTCTGTTTGTACAATAGTTTTTTAGAATTGCGATTTCCAAAAAATAATACTTCATCCGTCCCTTAAAGAAGTATTCAAATATTTTTTGCACAAAATTATATATATATATATATATTAGTATTATATTCATATGTAGTATGAATAATGCTAAAATGACAAAAATAATATTGTATGATATAAATATAATGACATTTCTATATTATATCGTAAGTTATAAAGATATTTTTAACTTACCAGAGAAATGAATATTTTGTTACCAGACATATCAAAAGGAAAAAAAATGAATAACTTGTTAAGCGATGGAGATAATTTTTATATTTTTTTACACAATTATCTATATCACACGCATAAAATAAAATCAACTTTTTTAAATGATTATTACAAAAGGCAAAAATCTAAATATTCAATTTAAAATAATATTTTATTTCATATTTTTATCACAATTCTTCGATTATTCATATCACCTAAGAAAAATCAATCAATCCAAGGCTAAGTGAACAAAGTCATTATTTATTAAATTATTAATAATAATATTGTAAGTAAATATATATATTTTTTATTATGAATAAAATATAATATATATAAATTTAATAAACACCAAAAAAAAAAGAATATTAACCTAATTACAACTGATCTGACAAGTATTGTACCAATTTCACTAGATAATGTTTATCTTTGAAAAACATTACATTTTGTTTGCCACAATTTTCTATCTTAACAATTTTCAATAGATATTTTATTCAATGTTCAATATGATATTTTATTTTATCGACACGATTTTTTTATATTTTATAAAAAAATTTCAAATCAAAATACTAAATAAATAAACTATTTTTTCCTTATAAAATATCAAATTAAATAGTACTCCCTCCGTCCCAAACATCGTACAACATTTTTTTTTTCGTATGTTCCAACACCTTGCAACATTTTCAAAATAGGAAATAATTAATTATACCTAATCTCTACTCCACACTTTATCCCCTCACATCATCCAAATAAAAAAATAAAATATATATTTTTCTCTCCATCACATCACCTAATTTCTAAATTATCATACTTAATACTACCCACCTAAAAACCCGTGCCAAAAATAAATGTTGCACCTTATTTGAGACGAAGAGAGTACTAAATTTTATTTCTTTTCAAACTTCCAAAATTTTAAAAATCTCTAAAAAGAGTTATTTGCTTGGTTTTAGTTTGAAACTAAAATCTTGAATTAAATAATATTTTGAAATAATATTTTATAAAATACTATATATTTCTTGTATATATATATATATTTGCTGAATAATAATAATTTTAATTTAAATAAAAACTAAATACATCTATACATTTTGCATTTCCTCCAATTCCAAAAATTTTCAACAATTTTTTTTACTGTCTTAAATATTTTGCAATATTATTAAAATATAAAATGATTAAATATACTTTATCTGTCTCATAACTAAGTATTTATTTACTTTTCGCGTGTTGATCCTTGTATATTAATTATTATATCAAAATGTATTACAAATCAAGGAAAAGTTGAAAAAAATATTTCTATTAGTGTCTTATAATATATTTGTATAAAAAAATTATACAAATATCAAAATATTTTTAACGTTAAGTACAATAACACAAAAAATAAATAAACAAAGGAGTATTTAATTCATATCTCACACTTTATCTCATTATATTACTCAAATAAATACATTTCTCTCTTTGTATCATTTAATTTACATAATATATTATTTTAATATAAAATTCTAAAAAACAAATTTCAAATCAAATAAGAAAAGACCAAATTATCAGTAAAAATGACCCGGTGATGTGAGAGTTGAATAAATGACCTTGAAGTCTCACGATTCAACCACATTGGGTGGTTACACCAAAAATAATTATAGGGTGTGTTCGTTTGTAGAATTCTAACAAAATTCTACTATTTATCCAATTTTTTCCCTAAAAAACATCAAATCAAACACCTATTTTTCATTTTTTATATTATACTAAAAATCAATTTTACATTCAAAACATCACATCATCACCTATTTATATCACATCATACAACTATTCAAATTCAAATTTTTTACTATTCAAATTCCAACTCAAAATCCAAACCCCCAAACAAACACACCCATAGTATAATAAATGTCAGGGATCTCAGGTTCCGGGAGTAGCTGGGACTAAAAACAGAGAAGGAAGTCCTTGGATTCCTGTACGGAAAAACTTTCATACAAAGCCTGAAAACCTTCCCTCTCTCTCCTATTCATACATCACTCTCTTCACTCTCTCTCTCATAAAGAAATATTTCTCGGCAGTCGTCTAGTCATTTTCAAGCAATTGCTGTTGCAGACTTGAAGTGCCGGAGATTCACCGGCGGTCGTTTTGTGCTTTGCGCTTCAGGAGACAATCATGGTGAGAAACCGCTGCTTAAGAAGTTATTTTCGCTCTCATCAACGCTGTTTTGTTTTATGGAATTGCTGCAAGTCTAGATGCATGCTGAGATTTGATTTTTTTGATTGTTGTTGTGTGTCTTTCTGTAAGGGTTTCTGAAAAAGAAATAAAAAACCTGCGTGTTTCGATGGAACGGTTTCTTTTTGCAGTTCTTGCTTTATTTGTTGATTTGTTTTTCTCTTTTGGTGGTTTGTGTTGGGCGCGTGAAGGTGAAATGGAGAATGGAGTTTTGTGTAGTGGAGCAGGGGCCATTGATGATCTTTGAAACTGCTGTTCTTGCTTTGTCTTTGTTCTGCTGAAGGATTTTATTTTTTTATTTTTGAAAAATTTGGATGAGGATTTTTCAATTTTGGATTTGTTTAGGTAATGTGAAAGCAGATTGAATATGCCTCTTTCCTTTTTTTTTTTTTTTTTTTTTTTTGTTTTGAATAAAGAGATTGAAAACACACACACTCAAGATTTACAAAGTCTTGCATAGTTTAATCATTGTGGATTAAAATGTTGATTGAAACAAAGTTAAAAATCTTGCGGTGTAATTTGGATATTATGGGAGTGTTAAAGAGTTTTTTAATTGAGAATAGATGTTGTTTTTCGATAAGAAGTTTTTAATGAAAGACAGGTGTTTGATATGAATCTGGAAAATATGATTTCAAAAATGCAAACAAACATGTCCTTCTGAAAAAGGGTGAATTGCAAATAGTAAAAAAATTGACTAGCAAATTACAAAAGGTACTATTTAAACCAAATCTCAAATCAAAATCTCAAAAAACTCAAATCAATTTATGCACTATATACTGACTATTAGATTAGCCAATACAAACATTTCTGAGTTTTGCTCTTGCCATTTAAAGAGTTGAAAAAAAAGAATCAGTATCTAAAGATTGTTGTTTTCATTAATTCATAATTTTGGTAATTCATATGGAATATGGTGCTGAAGGTTTCTTCTGTGTACAGGGAGAAGTTTGCGAAATCTGTGGTAATGTTGGTTGGGCTAATGCATTACTTTCTTGCATACGGTGTAAAACAACTGGTTCACATATGTAAGATTACTCTCTATCTCCCTCTCTCTCTCTCCTTTTTCCTTTACCCAATTGCTCTCCTATTGTTTTCTCCAAGTATGTATTTTGTCCTCTGCATATACTTGTTATACTTTAGACAAGCATTGTTTTTCATCCAATTTTGAATATAAACACGTCTGATCTTACCGCATTATGATATATATAAACTCTTTACTATTTTCATCTCAGCTATTGCTTGAGCATCCCACCTGATGAGCCTATTAATGATTGGCATTGTGAGGAATGTAAATCAGTATCTCCGCAAGAAGGGCGAGCATCTAATCAGGAAAAGGAGTTACCTGGATTTCCGAAATCAACCTATTCTGGTAAGTCTCATGTCGTGATTAGGAAATTGCCAAATGTACCTAAAAAGGGTACTTTATACTTTGAAAATGCAGTTTTGACTGGAAAGACTAAATATCTTCCATTTAAAGATGCTCTCAAGCTTTGCTTAAGAGACGAGAAAAGGGCCCGCTTGAAGGTTGCAGTGCGCTCAAAACCCTTAGGGCGTAAGGGTGGATTGCATACCTGTGAGGAAACACCTATCAGCCCCCCATCGTCAACTCAGAAGGATCTTGGTTCAGGACCTTTACAAAAATCCCCAGGTGCGTAGTAATTCTGCTTGCTATATTATCTTTGGCCGTTGAAACCTAGTGTCTAGTTGGTAATGAGATCTATTATGCTTTCAAGTTCTGACTTTTGATTCATTGATTGCTTTCACCATTTATGTTTAGAAACTTGAGATATGGAAATAAATCATTAGCAGCCTTTAGTATGCGTGTTTTAAATATCTTACAGCTATGTCATAATTAACATTCTCTGGATTATCAAATATAATTTTCAGTTGACAGTCGTGTCTAATGTATTCTATTTTATTAAATTTTAAGTCATGTATCTTCCTTAAAAGTACAAAGGTCAGTGTGTTCTCATCCACCCTATAAGGAACAGCTAGAAAAAAGTCAATTAGCACACACTGATCTAAGAAGTGCCTTGAAGCAACCTTTCTTTGCTTCGCCTCACTTGACCTCACCCAATTCCATCTCAAGTGAGATTTTCATTCATCCATTTTTTTTTTAATCACTTACGGGTAACAATTTTGATGACTATGGTGCATGCATTTATATATATATATATATATATTAAAGAGTAAACAATAAAGTGGTGTCAATATACGGTTTTTACCTTTAGATTTTTGTAGTTTTTTTTTTTTTTTTTTTTTTTTTTTTGGGTCTATAAGAGATTCTTAAAACTATAAATTCAATTTTGGAATGATCATGGCAACAATTTGACAAGAGCAACCAATTGTTAATGGAGAAGCAAACCCGTTTAGCTAAACTTGTTTTGTAAATTTTTGAAGGGATGTAGCTATGGTTTTACAAGCAAGCCTATAAAAACATTGTGTTAGTTCCAAATTTGTTGTTCACAAATCACAATGTAGCCATTTGATTGCAAAATGTCCTAAATGATATGGTGTGAGATAAAATATGACATTATCTTTATCATCGGGCAATTAGCGTCTTGTTGTGTCATCATAATTTAAACCTATGACAAGTCTATATGCTATGCCATATAGAGTGAAGACGCTAATACATGTGACCACAACTTAACTTTTTGTTGTAAGATGAAATAGAAATTGAAAACTAAAGTAACAAGTCGCCTATCATGGTGAATTGTTGTCATTTTTAGTGTAAAATGTAAAATAGCACTACATTATGACTTTGATGGTGTTTAGGTGGTAGTGGTCATTACACTACCAAGCCAAGGATTAATGGTGCAAAAGGCACACCTAAGAGCATCTCTTACAGTCACCTCTTTTATTACCTTTAGGATTTTTATTGTAATAACTAGTTATATTTTTTATTACCTTTAAGAATAGATACAATTATTCACTATTTATTACCTTTCTCAAGAACGGTTACCTTTAACAAAAAATAAAAAAATAAAAAATAAATATTATTCAAAATATTTTAAAATTTTAACTTTAACAGAAATTATCTATATGTTGATTTATTCGAATAATTTTAATTTTTAAAATAGTAAATTATATGTTTCAATATGTTAAATTTATAAAGATTAAAATTTAAAAATTTAATATAATATTATATAAAAATATTATTAGACAATAAAAATATATAGAAATATGTATAAATAAATAAATAATTTATATATTTTATGTAATAAAAATATATAGAAATAAATAAATTAGTGTGGATCCTATAAAATAGTAAATTTAATATGTTAAAGGTGATTACTATAACGAGTGATAAAAGAAAGTAACTTAAATGTTGAGTTGAATATGATGTGGACGAGAGAGACAAAAGAGATAACGAAGTAGAGGTAATGTATGTAACGGATGCTCTAATGATTGTATGCTTGATCTAAACAAAATGCAGAGGACTCCTACATTGGATTCTACTATTCAAGGGTGTTTTGTTTTGCTCATTTTTCTCAAATTTTCTACTATTCAACTTTCACGATTCTCTATGAGGACTCAAATGTGGCATTGAGGACTCAAATATATCTTGTGAGATCCATTAGGCAGGTCGGGAGATAGGTTTTGCCCCTTCCACCGAGTCAACTGATCGTCATGTTGGCAGGCCTTTTGGCAACTCGTCAAACATAATATTCTCAAACTTCTTTAGGATTGGCTCCAGTTCCTTAGGCAATCGTCCAACCTCCCTTATTTTTCACCCCGGTATGTCTTCGTCACTTAGAATTGTGGCGAAGGTTGGCTCCCCATTTTCCGCCTTTTCTCGAGTTGCCTCGAGCTCAGTTCCTTCTCTCATATACCATCACTATCTTGAAAACCTATGTGGTCCACTTCTTAAAGTTGTGATTGAATGTGATTCCAAAAATGCCCATGTAGATCCTCGGTTCTACACTGCCTTGGAAATTGAACTTTGCAATCGATAAGCTCCGTCTCTATTGAAAAAATTTCCATTATAATACTTTAGTGTATCCAATCATTGCAAATTAGGTATTTTGCTAAGTGTGTCGCTGAGAGACACAAACTTATATGTGTGGTTGTAGTTTGCTCATTTTCTAATCTAGGCTCTATGCATCAAGTAATTCTATACTACAAAAAAAATTTGCATTTTCCGAAAACACAAAAAATAAAAATAAAAATAAATAATAAGTTAGAATGTATATATTTTGAGTTCTCATTACATCTCAATTTTTTAAAATTTTTTATTCTCACTAGTTGATATACTAAAATTATAGGAATATAGATAGGATAAGGTTAATTATTTATTACATATAAATGTAAATGCAAATTTATATAGAGATCAAGGTTTTTAGTTTTATTTTATTTTTAGTTTTTAGTTCTCAGATCCAACATCTTATTTTCATTCAAAACATCACATTAAACAATTATTTTTACCACAAAAGTATCAAAATTAAAAACACCAAACAATAAAAAAAGCACAAGTGAACAAACCTCTTGTTGTGCCCTTATGTAATGTCTACTTTATCTCATCATTGTTGATATCTTTGTCATAACATGAGTAAAACATTTATACATTAGCATCAAATTTTGCTTGTATCTTTCCCTTAATTAAGTCACGCCAAAACTACCAAACCTATAACTTATACCCAAACAACTAGGTACAGCCATTATAATATTAATGAATGAAATCATAAACATACATATTCCATTAACTCATAAGTAATATTAATTTTACAATAAGGCACAAACATTTCTAGAACCAAAAAATTTGCTAAGGCTGGCGGTAATATCAATGTTAATCATTATCAAAACATTGTGTAAGATTTGGAAAACTACCAATATATTATATTTGTAATAATAACCTAAGTTTACTTATTATTCCAAGCATTTATAATCTTATTGAAAGCAAATAGACAAATAGTATTAGATTGCCCAATAGTCCTAGTGTATGTTTACAAATATGGTAGACATTGAAGTGATTTCATTTTATATTACAATTAGTGTAAAAGTATTTAATAGTCATGGATGCTATGCAATCAATACATGTATATATAGTGGAGGAATAAAATAATCTATTATTACTTAATTAGAAATTTTACAACTAGGAAAAAATCTCGATGATGTAGAGATTGAGACTTAAGGTGAAATTGAAGCCTAACTTTCGAACATCCTTAGGAACCTATTTTTTCACAAGATTGAAAACTCTTCCTTTCTTATTGCTCTATTTTATTATTCTTAATCTTTCTACAGTTGATGGGGGACTATTTAGTATGATGGACAACTGTCACAGGCGCGAAGTACTGACTTACCATCAAAGCTCATCACCCTACCCATGTTTGTAGAAAGGTCTATGAATTCTCGAAGCAAATGCCCGACTTACTCCATTTTCAGTTATTTCCATTCCGAAAATTCTGGATCTATGTCTTTCAGTTATTACTAGTAATTTGGACAGGTGTGGTTCTGTTTGTTTTAATTTTTTTAATGTATTGTTCAGTAAAGCAGCCAATCGCTTGAACTTGTTGATTAACTTCCCTGACACCAACATACTGCATTCTGTTTACTTTACTGATTTGTTGATTGTATCTTTTCTAGTGGGGCCCTTTGGTCTGAAAACTTGGCATTGAGAAGACAGATTGCCGATGTTGAGCTTCTGGTATTTACCTCCAAACCTCTACCGATCAATTGTCAATGTAAGATCCATCTTTCCTATATGATGTTGGTGTTGTAGTTTTGCTTGGAAATGTTGGGTCTCATTAATGCCATAATCAATTTCCTACATTGTCGCTAGAATTTAATCTTGCTTCTTTGATTATAAATTGAAATGAGACTGCACTTGATGTACAATGTTGCATCCATTTGTGATGTTGATCCTTCACAATAATGTCTGCTTTGCTGTGTTTGTCTAATTTCTGCTGATGCTTAGTTGTGTTTTAGGTTTTAAAACTTTTTAGTTGAAAATGGGTGTTGGGTGTGATGCTTTGATAGGAAAATAATTGGATATTATTGGTTTGGGTTTGTTCACTTTATGTTTTTGGAGGGATGTGTTTTTTGTGTTAGATGTGGGGGATTGTGTATCTTGTGTTGATACGGCCAAGTCAATATGGTGCTGATTTGATCTGATAAACATATATCAGAGGGGTGAACCAACATATATTTATACATAATATAACATATGTTTGCATTATAAGATAACATATATTTGCATTATAAAATAGCATATGTCGTGTTATAATATAACATATGTTAGTATTATAAATATGCTGAGATATATATAAATATATGTTGGTCGTCGATATGATATATACTGATCCGATCAAATAAGCACCATGGCCAATGCTGACTTGACCGGATTAGTAGTTGGTCCACGTCCGTTGCGGAAAATTGTGTTGGTAGTATAAAAATAATATTTTTTGTTAGAAATATTGATGTTTTGTGTGTGTAATAAAGTATATATATATAATATCTATTGCGTTAATATTTTTATATTGTTTTTTTTTAAAATAATATTTATCGGGAATTAAAAATAGTAAATGAACAAACCCCGTTGTATTGTATATTAAGGAGTGCGAAAATAGAAACAAAACTAGTCCTATTTTGTTCTATCCAAACAAATAATGAACATACCTCTTATTGCTACATCGGATCATGTTTGTCCTCTCTCTCTCTCTCTCTCTTACATTTGCTGTTGGTTTACAGTTTTGTAGGGCAACTACTTTCTGTCAGGATTATTTCATAATCTGAAACAAGGAACTACAGCCTTCCCGGATAGCACCGTGTTGTCCATGCCTTCTCCTAAAACTGCAGTCATTAACATGGAGGCCCACATTGCGCAATGATCCCGTCTCTCTTGTGTTTAAGGAGGTGTCTAGGCTTAAATTCCGATGATCAGTGAAATCTCCTGTTCTACTCCAGCAAAGTTGAAATCTGGTTGCAGGAATAAATGAGGTTAGATTCTAGACTCTGAAACTACATATATTTGCAGCTCAAAGTCATATAATTAACCATCGTTGAACATGTCTTTTTTTTTTTTTTTTTTAGTTCTTTACAGCTAAGATGAAGTCGAAAGATAGTTCATACCACATACGATGCTCTATTGATTGCTGGTAACAACATGAAAAAATGCCTTTATTTTTAACACTATTCAAATTTGTGCTCAATTAGGTTCTTTTGAGTAAATAAATGTTCTTATGTGCATACTCTCTGTCAACTTGATAAATATACATTTTGTCGTTTTTTGTTACCAATATTCTACAGTATATTACAAATATTCTTATATATATTTATTTATTTACATCAATATCCTCTTATTAAGTTTATACATGAAATAGTCTTTACATGCACAATATTGTCACCGATTATTATTAAAATATTTATTAAATTGTATGCATAAAGTAAATGTTTACTTTTTAAATAAAAGGAATTTCAAATTATGTGTTGGTTTCTATTTTGGAGCCTTACGTTAGATGTGACGTTTAAATTGAAAATATATATCTCGAATGTAGTGTTTCTAGATAGATTGCATATTGTATACGGAGGCATCGAAATTTGAATTAATTGAAAAAAAAAAAGTTATTTTTTAGCGGTTAAATTTATAGATAATTTTTATTTATTAAAAATTTTATCATCAGGACTTAATTTGTTCTTATATAATTTTTTTTAAAAAAATATAATTATATATTTTAATCACATTTTAAAATTTATAAATTATTATTTTATTTTATTTTAATTAAAATATTTATTTATTTTAATTTTAATTTATAATTATTTTTATTAATTTATTATTATTTTTACTAATATATTTTTTAATTAGGCTTAAACTAAATGGAGTAATAACCAATATGCATGGATCAAAAGTATTTATATAGAAATCTTTTAAGAAATACTTTAGTTGTGTTCTTTTGTAATTTTTATTACAAATTTATTTTATATTTAAAACATCACATCAATTTTTATTTATATCACATCAAATTACTATTAAATTTAATTTTTTATTATTAAAAAATTCAAACTTAAAAACCGCACACAAACACATTATTTATTTTTCCTTTAAATTACGATTAAAAGAAAAAGGCAAACAAACACAGCCTTTAAACATAAGCTAGCAATTTCCCTCCCATCCTCCGTCAATTCGCTCAAGGCCTCCACTGACCGCCGCCGCCACCGCCACCGCCACCGCCGCCGCAGCACCAAATCCTGTAATCTGGATTTTTAAGGTTTCTATGTTGTTCTTTGTGCTGCACTAACAAGTTCGGGGCTTCTTCAATCAATTTGTGATAACTGTCATATTTGTTCGATGCTCTTTTACTCAGCTCTTTATTTCAATTCATGTAATCATTTGCGTTAGGTTTTTGAATTTGTGCAGTGATTGAAACCGACATTCCTCTCTCTCGTCTCTTCATCTGTTTTTCAGCCGGAGTTTATGCTTCTTCCGGCATCCATTACTGTATCGTACTCAAAGCTCCTGTCACAAATTTGCCGATCAAAGTACATAAATGGAGGTCTGCAAATCCACGCCCATCTTATCAAGCTTGAATTATCGAAGGAGCCTGCGCATCGTAATCATCTGATAAATTTTTATGCAAAATGTAAACTATTTTGTGGTGCACGCAAACTGATCGACGAAAGTCCTGAACCAGATTTGGTTTCTTGGTCCACCTTGATATCTGGCTATGTGAAGAATGGCTTTGGGAAGGAGGCCCTTTCGGCATTCGTTAAAATACATAAATTAGGAATGAAATGCAACGAGTTTACGATCCCGAGCGTGCTCAAGGCGTGCACAAACATGAGTGATTTCTCTTTTGGGAAACAAATTCATGGAATTGTAATTTTCACTGGTTTTGAGTCAGATGTTTATGTTTCAAATGCATTGTTGGTTATGTATGCAAGGTTTGGCTGTTTCTCGGATTCGCAGAGATTATTTGAGGATATCCCGGGGAAAAATGTTGTTTCTTGGAATGCTATGTTGTCGTGTTACACGCAGGGTGATTATTTTGGGAAAGCATTGGGGTTGTTTGGGGAGATGGTGGCGAGTGGAATGAGGCCCGACGAGTTTTCCTTGTCGACTATATTGAATGCATCGACAGGGCTCGGATGTATTGGTGAAGGCAGGAAGGTTCATGGCTATCTTGTGAAGCTTGGATATTTGAGTGATCCGTTCTCGTTGAATGCACTAGTGGACATGTATGCAAAAGCAGGGGATCTTGGAGATGCTATAGCTGTTTTTAATAATATTCCGGTACCTGATATTGTTTCTTGGAATTCTGTTATTGCCGGTTGCGTCTTGCACGAGTTTCATGAAATGGCGTTGGAATTATTAGGTCGGATGGGGAGGTCGGGGTCGCGTCCCAATATGTTCACCCTGTCGAGCGCCCTTAAAGCTTGTTCAGCATTAGGCGATGAAGAATATGGTAAACACTTGCACGCGAGTTTAATAAAGATGGATTTAGGTAAGGATCAGTTTGTGAATGTCGGCCTCATTGACATGTATTGGAAGTGTCATTTGAGGGGGTATGCGGTTCGAGTTTATCACTCGATGGAGGAAAAGGACTTAGTTGCAACTAATGCAATGATCTCCGGATATGCGCAGAATGGCAATGCCACAGAAGCGCTATCTCTATTTGTGGAGATACAGAAACGAGGAATTGAATTTGACCAGTCGACTCTTTTGGGTTTGCTAAATGCAATTGCGGACTTGGGGGATGTTAGTCTCTGCAAACAAGGTCATGCACTTATTGTGAAGTCGGGTTATCAAGACGATCATTTTGTTTTAAACAGTCTTGTCGATTCATATGGAAAATGTAATCATGCTTGCGAAGCAGGTGGAGTGTTTGAAGAATGCCCGACGGCAGATTTACCATCTTATACTTCAATAATGGCGACGTATGCTCAGTGTGGACGAGGCGAAGAAGCTTTGAAGCTCTACCTGAAGCTGCTCAACACGGGTCTTAAACCGGATTCGTTTGTTTGCAGTTCCCTACTTAATTCTTGTGCAATTCTATCGGCCTATGAACAAGGAAAGCAAATCCATGTACATGTCTTGAAACTTGGATTTTTATCGGATGTTTTCGCTGGGAATTCACTTGTCAACATGTATTCGAAGTGTGGAAGTTTAAAGGATGCTACCCGGGCTTTCTCTGAGGTACTCGACAAAACTGTTGTGTCATGGTCCGCAATTATAGGTGGACTTGCTCAACATGGCTATGGTAACGAGGCTATCAAATTATTCGACGAAATGTTGAAGGATGGTGTCTCTCCCAATCACGTAACATTAGTCAGTGTCCTTTCCGCGTGTAATCATGCCGGTCTAGTCGAAAAAGCTCAATGGTATTTCGAGACTATGAAGGAGCAATTCGGCATCCAACCAATGCAAGAACACTATGCTTGCATGATTGATGTCCTCGGCCGAGCTGGGAAATTGGATAAGGCAGTGGAACTTGTCGATAATATTCCATTCGAAGGCAATGCCGCCATCTGGGGAGCACTTCTTGGAGCGGCTAAAATTCACAAGAGTGTCGAGCTTGGCAAGCGCGCAGCTGAGAAGCTTTATTCTCTCGAACCAGACAGATCCGGTACTCATATTCTTCTGGCTAATATTTACGCATCAGTGGGACTTTGGGACAATGTTGCGCAAGTGAGAAAGTTAATGAGAGACAGTAAAGTGAAGAAGGAGCCCGCGATGAGCTGGATGGAGGTAAAAGATCAAATACACACATTTATAGTTGGCGATCGAAGTCATCCCAGGAGTGATGAAATTTATGCAAAACTCGAAGAGATGGGACAGCTGATGGCGAAAGCTGGATATGTTCCGATGCTGGAAATTGACCTCCATTATGTCGACAAGAAAGAAAAGGAACTTCTTCTTTCATATCACAGTGAAAAACTTGCGGTGGCATTTGGACTGATCGCGACTCCATCCGGGGCGCCTATAACAGTGAAAAAGAACCTTCGGATATGTTTGGATTGCCATACGGCGTTCAAGTACATCTGTAAGATTGCGTCGAGGGAAATAGTTATCAGAGATGTAAACAGATTCCATCACTTTAGAGATGGATCTTGTTCTTGTGGGGATTATTGGTAACAATGCTCGACGCCTGATGCTATTACAGCCTCGATATAAGCAGCTTGCCTAGAGATAGAGATGGCAATGGGTAGGGGTAGATCCGAGACCTGACCCGAACCCTATCTATTTATTTGGGATCGGGTCCAATTATTTGGATATTGAGTCGGGCATGGGTAAGGTCTTTAATAAATTTTTTGGGGTCGGGTCGGGTTCAGGGTTTAATAGCAGACCCTACTCGACTTGGATCCAATTAATTAAATATTACATTTTGTTATTATTACTATTATTATTAGTGTTGGTGGTGGTGGCAACGGCAGACGCGTCAAGGCGGTATAAGTGAAGATTTATATTTGTCGTATATATTTTTAATTTACTTTTTGAAATAAATAGATATATTTTTTTAAGTAAATCGGGTTCGGCTGGTCTAACAGGTATATCACGGGTAGGGTTCGAGCACATTAGGGTTTGGCTAGGGTCTTGGGTCTAGCAATATACCCGATCCATACCATACCCATTGCCATCTCTAAGCTCGCCAAGCATTTAATAAGTATGATTGCCCTTTAGTTATTGGGTGGACTTATTTTATCTTTAGTAAGTAGGGTTTAAGTAATGGTATTTAAGGAGTAACTAGGGTTTGAGACTTATCATTTTGAAATTCTAGAAATAAAGTAGTCGTTAGACTTTGGGCAAACGGTTGGTACTGTTTGATCGTTTTTGGGCAAACGATTAATATCGTTTGATTTTCTTATTCTTTATTTCTTTTTTATCATGTTCATATGCTGCTATTGTGATTAAATATATTGTCTTCAGACGTGAGGTATGATATTTTTATGGAACCAATATGTTAGCAGCATAAATTAGTTTTGTTCAAAATACTAATTTATTCATATTATGCAAGGAGATCACCTTTCACCCCCGCTTTTTGTTATCTCGAGCTGTTGATGATGGCAGCTGGAACCTGATCAAGCTCTCCAGCTCTGAAACTGTAATCTCACATTTTTTATTCGCGGTTGATATTCTTCTATTTACCAAATCCGAGAGAAATTAGGCTGATATAATAAACAAAATCCTTGATTCTTTGCTTGTGCCTCAGGCCTGCGTATGAACAACCAAAATTCGAGGGTTATTGCATCTCCATCCATGCCCGTACACATCCAATGTGAGTTTCGCCAAACCACTGGGATCTAATTCACCCATGATCTCGGAAAATACCTCGGATTCTCAATGGTGCATGGTAAAAAATGGAAGACTTATTTGCCCACGTAATGGAACGAATGAATGACCCAGAAGATCAAGAATTGGTCATCTAGGTTCTTGTCAAAATGCGGGAGGATTATTCTAGCTCGCTCAGTTTTAACTCCATTCAATTTACTTGATGCAAAATTTCAAGCTTCCGTATAATATATCTTTTGGGGTGGAAAACTATGGCAAAACCCATAACATAGGATGGTCTCAATCTTCGGAACATAACTCACTTGAGGGATGCTATACCAAAAACACAAACTCTGGATTCGCCTCATGCACGAGCTCTACTACGGAGAAAAGAATTTTTGGGAAGTCTCTAGAAAAAATGGATCCCCGATTTGACGAGCTATCTACAACAGTAGAGAAATATTAAAATTGGGCTACACTTTAGAATTGGAAATGGAGAATCTTCATTTTGGTTCAGGGAATGGTTAAATGGTCGGTTGCTATGTAATGAAGTTCCATTTATTGACACCGGGGATATCAATTAAAAAATCAAAGATATTTGGGACGAAGAAAAAACCAACATCGAGCAAATTCGTTCATGGCTCAATGAAGATCTCAAGCTTGAGCTTAAGGAAAAATTCATATCCGGAAGCTATTCAATCAAAGGTGGCTACAACTGGATTACAAAACACACAAATACCGATAAAAGTTTGGTGCCTGCCAACATTAAAAAGGTTAAGCTATTCCTCTTGCTTATGATAAAGAAATCCCCCTCGTAAGTGGAGCACAGTGAAAAATTTTCGTTGTTTTAGTCCTCCGGCGCCGGAGACGCCTGCGTGGCTCGCTAGAAGCCATGTGTCCGCCAGGTCAGCGACACTCGGTGGACACGTGGATTTTATTTTTTTTTTAATTTTTTTTTTCAATTGGACCAAATAAAAAAAAATTAAAAAAGACAAATAAAATTAGAAATAAATTTAAAATCAATTTTAAAAAAATTAAAAATAATAATAAAATCCACGTTTCCGCAAAAAATTTTCACTTATACAACTAGTTTGCGACAGGCTCCACTTACGGGACTAAAATAATATAGGGGTCTAGTTACGGGACTAAAAAAAAATAGTTTATCGTAATTAAAATATTATTATTTTTTAACCTCTGCACCAAATATAAATATATAATTTTTAGCGGGGGAGTATTTTACATAACAAAAGTCAATAAATATATGCAACATATATTTTTGATTCTTTAATAATAATTTTTAATTGCATTGAAAGTATACAATATTGAGTTTGTTTGTCTACTTTATTGAACATAAAATGTGGTGAAAAGAAATAAGAAAAGAAGAATGCAACATGCCATAATTGTTTGTGCAGCATTTCTGTCTATAAAAAGATTAGATTGTTCACAAGTTTTGTAATATATATATATATATATATAGACCAAACCCCACCATCAAATTTACTTTGTCTTCAATGTTCATAGTTAATTATGACCAAAATATACATATATATATATATATATATATATGCATGCAATTCAATTATATCATTTTGAAAGGGATAAATTACATCTGGAAAGTACACCTATATATAGAGCTGGTAATGAGTCGATTCGTGTCAGGTTCGTGTCGGGTTGAATACTTTAAACGGGTTAAATTACTCAACTCTAACATAACCCGTTTATTATCGTATCGTATCGGGTTCGGATTGACTCGTGTTGATCCGTATATATAATTAAATCGAAATTCTTGATTCAAATTAAATTATTTTTTGTCGTGTTATGTTAGTTTTTATTTGTTTGAGCGTAAATTGGGTTGAATTATTTTAAATTGAATTTAGTTTAAATTAATTTATGAGAAAATTATTAAATTATGATTATTTTATATATATATAATAAGTATATTAAATAATCAATATTAATATATTATAATTGGGTTGTCGTATCGGATTCGAGTTGAGAGCTTCAACTCTAACCCGATCCGTTTATTATTGTGTCGGGTTCGTGTCAATCTGTATACATAATCGGGTTGAAATTTTTGACCCAAACTCAATTATTTCGTGTCGGGTCAGTTTTTGCCAACTCTACCTATATATTTCAATTGATAAATGTATAACAACGGCTTTGTTCACGTAATATTTTTCCTCATAAATATTATTTAAAAATATAATTCACATACATATTATATATAGTTTACTTATTCACAAAAAAGTCAATAATTCAACACAATATTATTTTTTTTATTGCTAATACAATTTCTCATACCTAACTAAAAAAAATGTATTCATCCAAAAACATAAAATAAAGAAATCCTTTGAGGTTTTGATTTATTTGTATTAATATCAGTTATATCGATGCATAAATAGAGATAGTCGAACAAAAGAATAATTTCTGATCAAGAATCGAACATTTTTTTTTATCTAGTAGGTGTGTTTACTTGTAAGGTTTTGGTTTTGAATAGTAAAATTTTGAATTGAAATAATAGTTTGATGTGATATAAATATGTATTGATGTACTATTTTGAAGGTAAAATTAGATTTTAGTGTAACAAAATAAATAAAAATTGGATGTTTGATTTGATATTTTTGGAGGAAAAATAAAGTTAGAATAGTAAAATTAAACGTAAAATCTTAAAAGTAATTCATTGGATCGCAAGTAGGAAAATTTTGATTTAACTTGAAGTCCTAAATGATCTCAAATAACTAGAAAATGTTGTTAGGCCGTTGGATGATCCATGCGAATTTCTTCCAATTCCGAATATGAATTGCAATATATATATATATATGAGTAAACTATTTTTTTAGTCCCGTAACTGGACTCTCTTATCATTTTACTCCCGTAAGTGGAGCCTGTCGCAAACTAGTCCCATAAATGAAAATTTTTTGTTGTTTTAGTCATTCGGCGCCGGAGACGTCCGTCTGGCTCGCCGAAGCCACATGTCCGCCAGGTCAGCGACACCCGGCGGATACGTGGATTTTATTTTTTTTTATTATTTTTTTAAATTTTTTTAGATTTTATTTGTTTTTTTTTAATTTTTTTTATTTGGTCCAATTAAAAAAAAAGTAAAACAATTAAAAAAGAATGAAAAAAAATAAAAATCCATTTGTCCACACCCACGTATCCGCCAGATGTCGCTGACCTGGCGGGACACCTGACGAGCACGTGGCTTCCGGCGAGCCACGCGGGCGTCTCTCGCACCGGAGGACTAAAATGATAAGAGAGTCCGTTACTGAAGTAAAAAAAACAGTTTACCATGTATATTTATATCTATATAGGCATATATGTTTTACCTTCTAAATTACATAAACTATATGTATATTATGTACTTGTATCTTAACTTTCACAATAAGAAAAAGAACAAAGAGCATTAAGTCATATAATTTGCAACAAATGTCATATTTTTTTAATACCTATTACCATAAAAGATTTTTTTTTATTTTTTTATATTGAATTAATAATCTTTTATTAAACTCCCACATTTTTAGGTAAATTTATTAATTTTGTACTTGTATTGCCATGTATATATGAAATCTTTGTTTTGGTATTGAAATTTACATGATAATTATATATATATATATATATATATATAAACGAAGCTATATATACAAAATTTACAATTTTTTTATATAATATTTATGAGGAATAATTGTGTATGTACTTTTGGAAATTAGTTTTAATTTTTTTTTATCACACAATTATTACAATTTTCTATAAAATATATATATATATATACAATATATTTTCTTACAAAATATCACATCCAAACGAATATGTCAAATTAAAATTAAAACTAAAAAAAATATAATCAAAGCTCTATTCCTTTGAAGTTTGAATGCAATTTTTTTTTTCCTTTTAATATAATATAAAATTATTGTAATTTTCAATAAATATATATTATTCTTTTACAAAATATTGCATCCAAACTATAATTCAAATAAAAAAGAATTATTGCTAAACTTCAAAAGAACAAACACTTTAATTTCCTGCAATGAAAATTCAATTTAAATTTCAAGTTATTTATTGTATAATACTTTATCCTTCCTATAACAATATAAAATTATTCACTTTTATTTGTTCATAACACTGATATGTTTTTTAAAAATAAATTTATTAATTTTAAACATACTTAATTAATATTAATTAATTTAATTAAATTTTTAATATATTATGTGTATGATCCACTCAAAACATCTTTTATTTTCATATTTTTTCTCAACAAACAAGTATCTTTTTTTATCTATTTTAAAATTTTTTATTTTTTATTTATTTATGTGTATATATATAAAATTTTATTTTTACACAATGACATTTAAATTTATATTAATCATATACTACCATGTCCCATATAGTTTTTTTAATGTCATTTTACCTAATATTAAAATTATCCTTAATGTTACACAATACTAATTGATATATCTTTATTTTATCTTTTTCTCTTAATTTGTACTATGTATTAATATAACAAATGAAGTATATTAATCTTTATTTTAAAAATATCAATAGTACAACTCATACAAATATAATAAAATAATATCACAATTTATTATGGTTAATATACTAAATTTTATTACCTTAAATACCTTATCATTTAACCAAATATAATTGTTCCAAAACAAAAAAGAAAGTATAAAATTAGTTTTTTTTTAAAAAAGAAAACCTAAAAAAAAAGAAAAAAATGGAAAATGGTTTAGAGATTTGAGAGGTAAAAGCTAAAAATATTTAATTATATACCAAATTCAATAATAATAATAATAATAATAATTATTATTATTATAATGAACTCTTGACTTAGAGTGAAGGCAAACCCTAAAAAGTATGACAGCAAAATCAATCATCAAAGTCTATGCCTTTTTCATGCTTCTATCTAACTTATAAAATAATTGTATAAATTTTTTATATAATACTCGATCCGTCCGACTCTAAGGTCTTATTTACCTTTTGCGTCATTATATTTAATATTAAAAATATTTTTATATTTGTATAATTTTTTCCACAAATGTTATTATAATAGTATTATAAGATCATTATAAAAGTATTTTTGTCTTTGTTTCCTTAATTTGTATTACACTTTCATATAATAATTAATATTAAAAAAATCAACACGTAAAAAATAAATGACACCTTTCAAACCGGATGAAGGTAGCAGTATATTTTTATGTTAATAAAAAAAATTGTATATAAAATATTCATTATATTAGGATTTGTGCTAATATATAAAATATATTTATATAACTAATGTGCTGAATTGTTTTACTAATATATTTTACTATATGATTTAATAATTTTTTATGTAATTCAACAAATAAAAGTTCATTTTTCTTCCATAGGGTTTGATCACTAATAAAAAAAATAATTAATTGATATACTATTAAAAATTGGATTAACAATCTTAAAATTATATTATTTGTCATCATTAAATTTTTTAATAATTAATTATACTGTGTAAATATTTTTATATAGGTCATTATATTGTTCTATATATAACTTGATATAATTTGTATATGATTGAATAATACAAGTTTAAATAAATTTAATATTTTAGATTAATTGTGAATTATGGTAGAATTATAATTTAATAGTGAGCTTTACTCAATCCACCTCACAGGGGTGTGAAAAGTAAACCTCATCCGAAAAATCGAATCCGTTCGAAATTTTTCAGGTTCGGATTTAGGTATTTCGGGTTTGAAAAAAATTGGGTCGATCCGAACCCGAAACGAGAAAAAATTCGTATCATGTTCAGATCGTGTTTCGGGTTGACCTGATAACTCGAAATATAAAATCAGGTTAGGTTTTGAGTTTCGTGTTTCGGGTTGGCCTGAAATTTTTCTTATTATTATTTTAATTTATAATAGTTATATTATTTTATATTTAAAATAATATAAAAATAAAAATAAAAATGATTCTTTTTAGGTTAATTTAATTTTTTTAATTTTTGGGTCGGGTTCGTATCGAGTTTGTTCGGGTTTCGGGTGACCTAAAACTAATTCAGGTTAACCTGAACATGATCTGAAAGAATTCGTGTCGTGTTCAGGTCTAGAGTTTCAGGTCAAATTTCGGGTTCGGGTTGACAGTTCTTTTGTTATCCTCGTGGCTGAACCCGACATGAACACGACCCAAAAAACACGAACTGACACCCGTACCCACTCATTCAATTCCGCTAATATAAGTTTATTTATTTCCTAATTTTTAGTAAATTAATGATTAAAGCTAATTTATTAATTTCAAATGAGTTTAAGATGATTTTAAACATTTTGGATTATATTATTTAGAAGAAATATGCATTAGATTTAATTTTCTTTTATTATTATTATTATTATTATTTAGGTCAAGAGTGCACCAACTTTAGGATGTCTTGTGGTCAAAGTAGATTTGGCAAAACCTACTTTTAGACAAAGAAAGATTTTATAGTCACAATCTCAATCTGAATGTTTTTCTTTCAGACAAAGACTAATTAAAAGTTTGTTGGTGTTTTTATTTATTTATTTATTAAATAATTGTTTGAATATGATTCTTCCACATACGCACATAAAAATAAAAAAACTAAAAAAGAAAAATCAACACTGATCTGAATTAAAAAAATTCAACACCTATGCTATACTGATAATTAAATTGATAATATATAATTATATTATTTAATTATATAAATTAAAATAATTTATTTTTAAAAATCGTTTCTCAAAAAAGTATTTACAATATATAGTTTAAAATTACTCCCTCTCTCCCAAATATCATATCCACGAAATTTTAAAAGAGATATAATTAGTAAATAATTAAGAATATATTAGTGAAAATAATTATTATATAATAAAAATAATTATAGATTAAGGTTAAGATAATTAATTAGTCTAATTAAAATTTAAAAATTTAAAATAAAATTAAAGTGTGTAATTCTTTTAAAAAAAAAAGTGACAAAATAAGTGGGACGACCAAAAATAGAAATATGGACATGGTAAGTGGGACGGATGAAGTACTATAAATTTTATTATCCTATTAATAAAAAAATACACAAAGTTTTACTTGTAATATTAGGTAGATAGTATTGTAACAAAAAAAATAAAAAAATAAAAAAAACACTTTGTTATGATAAAACAATACATTCACATCACTATTCAATAATAATAATAATAATAATAATAATATAAATACATCCAAAATCTTTCAAATAAAATGTGTTTGGTTGTAGTTTTGAGAATTAAGTTTTGTGTTTTAATTAGCAAAATTTTGAATATAAAATAATTGTTTGATGTGATATATATAAATATGTATTAATGTATTTTTAAATGAAAAATTTATTTTTAAATATAATATAAAAATATAAAATTACTATATTTTTTTATAGTTACAATGTATACTATATGTTTCATTTTATGCTTGCATGAGAGAAATACTTTTTATAAATAATAAAAATGGGAATCAAAATCTACAAACAAATGCATAACCCTAAAAACTCAAATCCAAACCTTACACATACTTATGCAATGTAGCCAAAAAATGAATAAAATTAAAAACTCATGTGGGTATTTGCTTGTAGGTTGAAATTAATTTAAAATAAAATACTGATTTTAAATTTTTGTTTAAATAATATATTGATATGATAGTTTGGTCGATAGAAAACTGTTGATGCCTGAAAAGAATTTCATTATCTTTTGGATAAACTGTTTTTTTTAGTCCCGTAACTGGATCCCCTTATCATTTTAGTCCTGTAAGTGGAGCCTGTCGCAAACTAGTCCCATAAGTGAAAATTTTTTGCTGTTTTAGTCCTCCGGCGCCGGAGATGCCCGTGTGGCTCGCCGGAGGTGACGTGACACCCCCGGCGGACACGTGGATTTTTTTTTTTAATTTTTTTTAAAACTTATTTTTAATTTATTTTAAATTTTATTTGTATTTTTTTATTTTTTTTATTTGATCCAATTAAAAAAATTTAAAATTTAAAATAAATAAATAAATAAATCCACGTGTCCGCCAGGTGTTGCTGACCTGGCGGGACACCTGGCGGACACGTCACCTCTGGCGAGCCACGTGGACGTCTCCGGCGCCGAAAAACTAAAACAACGAAAATTTTTCACTTATAGAACTAGTTTGTGACAGGCTCCACTTACAAGACTAAAATGACGAAGGATTACAGTTACCAGACTAAAAAAAACAGTTTACCCTTATTTTTTTTATTTTTGGTAGTTTAGAAATGGGGTTGGGCAAGAGGGAGTCCCTAATCTTTTATATCGAGTATTTGGTTAAGTATTAAATTATAATAATTAAATAATTTACTTTAATTTAAAGTACTATTTTAAATTCTTAAAATACAAATCAAAGCACATGATTTAGGATACTATGGAATGTCGAGAAACGTGATGATTGATGTTGTTGGGATTCCATTTTTTGTTTGTGTTTGTAATTGTATTTATGTTGTGTTTAAATACATAATAGTTGGATGACTTTGATATTTAATAATAGGGTAAACTGTTTTTTTTTTCCCGTAAATAGACCCCTTTATCATTTTAGTCCTGTAAGTGGAGCATGTCGCAAACTAGTCCCATAAGTGAAAAATTTTCGTTGTTTTAGTCCTCCAGCGTCGGAGATGCCCGCGTGGCTTGCCGGAGGTGACGTGTCCGCCACACCTGGCGGACACGTGGATTTATTAATTTTTTTTCATTTTTTTTTAATTAGACCAAATAAAAAAAATACAAATAAAATTTAAAATAAATTAAAAATAAGTTTTAAAAAAAATTAAAAAAATAAAAAATAAATAAAAAAATCTACGTGTCCGCCATGTCAGCGACACCTGGCGGACACGTCACCTCCGGCGAGCCACGCGGGCATCTCTGGCGCCGGAGGACTAAAACAACAAAAAAAATTTCATTTATGTGACTAGTTTGCGACAAGCTCCACTTACAAAACTAAAATGATAAAAGATCCTGTTACTGGACAAAAAAACAGTTTACCCTTAATAATAAACAAAAAAATATATATATATATATTTTTATATAGTAAATTTTACATAGGGGTTGCATATTTCTTAGTAACTGTATTAAAAAAATACTAAGTACTTCAATACATATATATATTAAAAAAAAAAAAAAAAATCACCCTGATGATCACATATGTCTCCTACTCCTCTCTTTTCCCAATCTATAAATACTCCAATCTCAAACCTCCTACTAAAAATATCAAATCAAATTCAAAATACAAATAAACGATGGTCTCAGCCAAACCCTCGCCAAAAAAAGTTTGCGTGATCGGCGCGGGGCCAGCCGGGCTTGTCGCGGCCCGGGAGCTCCGCAAGGAGGGCCAAGCCGTCGTCGTGCTCGAGCAGAGCCACGACGTCGGCGGGCAATGGCTCTACGACGCTGACGTGCAAGACGAGGACCCGATGCCGAGTCCTGGCACATTTTTGAAGGTCCATAGCAGCATTTACGCGTCGTTACGGTTGGCGTCGCCGAGGGAGATCATGGGGTTCACCGATTTCCCATTTTCGACAACGGGAGGCCACGACGGGCGGCGGTTCCCGGGCCACCGGGAAGTTTTGTTGTACTTGCAAGACTTTTGCGACCGGTTCGGGTTGAGGGAAATGATCCGGTTCAACACGAGGGTCGAGAATGTCGAGATGCTCGATTATCCGACGGCGGCGGCGGTTGAGAAGGAGGTGAAGTGGGTGGTGAGGAGTAAGGTGGAGAAGGCCGTCGAGGAAGTTTACGATGCGGTGGTCATCGCCACCGGACATTATTCTCATCCGAGGTTGCCTAAGATCAAAGGTATTATCGATGTATTTTTTCAGTATATTTTTTTACTATTTGAACTTTACGTTCTAATAAAAAAATATATTTATTTCTTTTATAAGATATCATTTCAAATATTATTTTAATTCAAAAATATAAACTTTCAAATTTAATTTAGACCAAGACAAAATATACAAATAAAGTTCTGATGTTAATTGGGTATGATTTTCTTTATAGAACTATAGCATCATAAATTTATTCTTTTATTTAATATATATTATATAAAGTGATTAATTTTTTTTTTATCAAAAATATTATATCAAATATCTATTTATATCACATTAAATATTATTTTATTTTAAATTTTAATATTCTCAAACTTTAAACTCAAATTAAAGTCTTAAACATAGGGTTGAAATTTATTTTATAATTCATCATAATGTTACATAAAATCTCTGCATTTGAATACAAACTCCCAATAAAATGAGGACTATTATGTTTAATTTTATTTTTTTTTGAAATAAATTATGAAATAAAATTTATACAGATTATTTTGTAATTTATGATTTTGTATATATATATATAGAATATTGCAAAAAATATTCCACACTTATACCCTATTATCACTTTTGTCCTGTATTTATCTCCCTAACAAAATATATCCCACATGTTTACAAAATTCGCTATTTATGTCCTTTGCCCGCGCATGAAATTCACACCACGCGCCCTTAGGCGCAATCACGCGCGGCCACGCGCGGCCAAATGATAGAAATAGCGACTTTTGCAAACATGTGGGATATATTTTACCAACGAAATAAATACAGGACAAAAGTGATAATGAGGTATACGTGTAAGATATATTTTGCAATATTCCCTATATATATATATATGTATATATAGCTGAAATAATGCATATTTTGCAGGAATGGAAACATGGAAAAGAAAGCAAATGCACAGCCACATTTACAGGACTCCTCAACCCTTCAAGAATGAGGTCATATATAATAAATCAATATATATTATCTTTTTATTTAGATCACAAAAAAGATGTTTTTTTTTAAATTAATTTTTTTTTATGATTATAATTGAATTAATTTGATCAATGGTGGATTAGAAACGTTATTTATTTATTTATTTATTTTAAAAAAAAAGATAAAAATTGAATAAGAGTAAATAAAATGGACAAAAAATTACTTTAATTACATGAGAAAATTGAAATATAATAAATATGAAAAGTTGAAGTTTCTTACAAGAGAAGCATAATCTAATAGTAATAAAAAATAATAATAATAATAATAATAAAAATAGTAATAATATTTAAAGGTTAGGTAGGGTCAGTTATAGACAGCATTTCCTGTTAAGGCAAGTTTCATCGACACCAAAAAAAAAACATGTGCTTAAAGCAAATCTTCCTACTATAAAAAATATACATTTAGGGTGTGTTTGTTTGAGGTTTGGATTTTGAGTTGAAATTTGAATAGTAAAAATTTTGAATTTGAATAATTGTACGATGTGATATAAATATGTGTTGATGTAATGTTTTGAATGTAAAATTTATTTTTAGTATAATATAAAAAATAAAAAATAGGTGTTTGATTTGATATCTTTTGAAGAAAAAAATGAGATGAATAATAGATTGAAAATTCAATCACCCAAACAAACACACCCTAAACTTTCCATGTTTGTTGTCATAAAAAAAAAAGACTTTATTTTTATTTTTTAATAAAAAAATCATACTATTTTTTACCATTTTTTATTTTTCTTACTATAAAATGCAAAACGTACATACTATAAAAAAAAAAACTCGTGTTCAAATCAAATAAATGTATTTTTACATGAACATTAGATTGTAAATCACCACATATAATGTGTGTATTAATGTGATAAAAAATAAAAAATAAAAACGGGAATATCATTTTAAAGTTTGGGTCTTTTTTTTTCCCTAAGTTTTGTATTCTAATGTAATGTTTTTTCTAAAAATATTTTTTATTATAGAAAATTGAAATTACCACAAATAAAAAACAAAACAAAACTCCAAAAGAACAAAGGTCGAATATTTTGGTTCTTTTACATTAAATAATACTCCATTCGTCCCATAACAATCTATCCATTTTTCTATTTTGGTCCGTCCCATAATAAAGTATCCATTTCCTTTAGTAAATGTACCATCTACCTAATATCTTTATATTATACGATACTAATAGGGGCAATTTAGTCTTTTTACATTTATTTCTACTTTATCCCAATATAATATTAATATTTTTAAAACTCCGTGCAAAAAATAAATGAATATATAAATATGAAACGGAAGGAGTATAATATTTTATTAATATTGTGAGGTCTATATCTACCAAATACATAAGTTGTGGATTCTTTATGGACATCCTAAATGGTAAAAATAGAGTGTATATACAATTATATACATATATATATATGTATGAGAATACTTAGCTGATTAAGGCTAATCATCACATAATAATACAATACAAAATACATATTGTATAAATTGTTAGCATGCGTTGTTTGTTCTATTTTATTGCGTGCCGTGTTAATATATCTTATATGCTAAAATCAATTATATTATGTATTATCCATTTATATATTGTATTTATATTATATTTCCTCCGTCCCCCAATTCAATGGAATTTTTAATTTTATGTAAAAAATAATTATATGTGTAATAATATATTTGTAATTTAAGTAAAAATTAAGGTATTTTGGTATTAGTGTATAATTACTTTCTCTAAAATAGAAAATTGATATTCTGAAGTAGGACGGACGAAAATCATAAAAAAAAAAAAGTACTTTGAATTGAGACGGAAAGAGTATTATGATAATACTTTGTGCTATGAGTATATACATCATTTGTTGTCGATATATATTTGTATGTTATCAACACAGTAACAACTGTCATATTTATATATATATATATATATATATTGAAAGTTCGGTAGCAATGCTTAACAGGTAGTTGTGGTCGTCGGGAGCTCGTTAAGCGGGCAAGACATATCGATGGAGCTTGTTGACGTTGCGCGCGAGGTTCACCTTAGCGCCAAGTCCCCAAACATCTCGCCGGGCCTATTAAAAGTCATATCTAAACACGAAAATCTCCAACTCCATCCGCAGGTTTTTTTTTTTTCGTCGCCTTACTTGATTTTTCTTCCATTTTTTTTAACAAAGAAAATGACAAATGTTCGGCAGATAGAGTCGCTAAACATAGATGGAAAGGTTTTGTTCGATGATGGCGTGTCCGTCGTTGCTGACACCATAATATACTGCACGGGGTAAAAATGCATCTAGCAATTCATCGTGTATCTGCAAAATAAATAAACTTTTCGTAATCAAAATACTTAGATCATTGCGAAAAATAAATAAGTAAAAATGCCGCGCAGGTACTCTTATTCGTTTCCATTTCTTGACACCAAAGGATTAGTCGTAGTAGACGATGATAGAGTCGGACCTCTTTACGAGCACACGTTTCCTCCGGCGCTCGCTCCTTCCCTTTCCTTTATTGGCATTCCTAGACAGGTAAAAATTTAATGTATATATGGGAAAATTTGCAAATTTAGTTATGTATTTATAGTCAATTATCAGTTTTATCATATATATTTCATCGGACGTAATTTCATCATATACCTTACACAAAAAAATCAAAGGACATAGGAAAAAAAAAGTAAAATTGTTAATATTTTACTAGTAGTTTCAAAAGTCTGTACTATTCTTCCCCGTGATTTAGAATCCAAGGGCTTATGCGCAATATTTTCGAACACACAAGAATCCTTACGAAATTTTTGAAAATTTTGTGCTATATTTTCGAAAATACGAGTGGATACCGATGCAAACTTTTCAAACTACATATAAGTTATCAGCAAATTTTCTTAAGAAAACAATTTTTCGTATGTGAATTTAAAGGCGAGGACAAAAGGAAGGTGTTTTTTTTTTTTTTGGTAAACTGTTTTTTTAGTCCAGTAACTTGACCCCCTTATCATTTTAGTCCCGTAAGTGGAGCATGTCGCAAACTAGTCCCATAAGTGAAAACTTTTCGTTGTTTTAGTCCTCCGGCGCCGGAAATGCCCGTGTGGCTCGCCGGAGGTGACGTGTCCACCATGTGTCGCTGACCTGGCGGACACGTGGATTTTTTTATTTATTTTTTCATTTTTTAAAATTTTTTTAAAAACTTATTTTTAATTTATTTGTATTTTTTTTATTCGGTCCAAATTAAAATAATTAAAAAAATAAAAAATAAATAAATCCACGTGTCCGCCAGGTGTCGCTGACCTGGCGGGACACCTGGCGGACACGTCACCTCCGGCGAGCCACGCGGGCGTCTCCGGCGCCGGATGACTAAAACAGCGAAAATTTTTCACTTATGGGACTAGTTTGCGACAATCTCCACTTACAGGACTAAAATGATAATGGGGTCCAGTTACGGGACTAAAAAAAAACCGTTTACCCTTTTTTTTTTTATATATGTTACAAGACCAAAAGACGACTGAAGAGTATATAGTAAAAGAGTGATAATTGATTATAAATACAAAATGATCTTTGCAATTTTCCCAGTATATATGTGTGTGTCGCTAATACTAAGGATGTCTTAAAACCCTTTTTCGTACGGTGTCTTTAGATCATAGGGTTCCCTTTCTTCGAATCCCAAGCAAAGTGGATTGCGGAGCTCTTGTCGGGGAAAAGAAGGCTTCCATCACAAGACGAGATGATGCAATCGATTAAGGAGTTTTATCACTCGAGGGAAGTCGCCGGCATTCCTAAGCACAATACACATGTTATTGCAAGCTTTGAGGTAAAGTCTATTATCATTCCCTAAGCAAAAGTTAGAAAATAAATCCTACAAACACATAGAGTGTGTTCTTTCTGTCAAAACAAACTAACACATTTCTCAAAATATATATATATATATATATATTACGTATATTTATTATTTTTGTATTATTTATACAATTTTTTATACCTTATATAAAAAAGATCATTTGTTTCTCTAAACAAACACACTTGTAGGCTCTATTTACTTATGTTTTAATTTTGTTTTAACACTATTCATTAACGGATTTCTTTCCAAAAAATATTGCATCGCACTTTTATATTTCATTTAAAATATCAAAACATTTTATATTTAAAGCATCACATCTAATGCCTTTTATATCGCATCAAACATCAATTATTATTTCATTTTTTTACTATTTCCAAAACAATCCGACACACTAAAACATTTTCAAAACATATCGAAGTCATACCGTTTTATGTTCATTCCATTGTCTATAAATATTTCAATTTGAGATCAAATTACACTATTTTTAGTTCCACACATAAATTTTGTTAGTTTTGACAACAAAAAACTTAACGGGACTAAAATTTGCTACTATTTAGCCAAACCAAAATTGAGAAACTATTCTAGTCGAACTAGAAAATTGAAAAGTGCATTTCTTACAAAACCAAATTAATTATTTCGCTTCTTTCATCGATACACATTAAGGACACTAATACGCATCAAAACAAGATGACAAGCAAATATACCGAGTAGATGGCCAAATTCGCCATCTAGAAGTCACAAAAATCAATCGAAAAATCAAATGCACATAGCGAAAAATCCCCCTATGATTTGCGAAATTTGCTGAAAAGACCCTTTGATCCTAAAATTTCGTTTTCCCTAGTTGTGGTTTCAAAAATATTACAAAAAATATCATTTGTTAGTAATTAATGGTGATTATGAGGCACGCCCTTAAATTGCAATTGGTATTACAAAATAATATATAATGCGCAATACTGCAATTTGTAAAAATATCTAAGAGGGTATTTTCCTGACTTCATACCTTGTATATATAATTTTGTAGTATCAATTATAGTTTAAGCGTGTGCCTTATAATCTCAGTTAATTACTAACGAGAGGGTATTTTTGCAATATTTTTCTAACTACAAGTAGGTAAAACAAAATTTTAGGACTAGAAGGTCTTTTCAGCAATTTTCGCAAACCACAGGGAAATGTGATACTATTTTGCCTATATATATATATACATATATAAGTTTGAACTTACTAAATACATTGCATCAATCTTGTCTTCTTGCAGTACTGCGACAAATATGCAGACTACGTCGATTTCCCACACGCCGAGGAATGGAGGAAATTGCTTTGCCTGTCATCTTTAAGAAATGCAGAAGTTAATCTCGAGAGTTATCGTGATTCCTATGAAGAAGATGAAGAAATGCTTCGAGTCGCACATAACAGCCCACATTTCACTCAGTTTAAACATCAAGATTCTACCGTATCGAATACATAGGTTGCACGAAGATCATATAAAAGTAGTTTTCGATAGTAACAATGAATGCGTATTTACGGAAAAAAAACAAAGTGCACTGCACTTCTCATACAATGCCAAAATGAATGAAAGAGATCGGTCGAACAGCCGCAATTTTGCTATTTATTTTGTCAATGTATGAGCAAATAAATACATATATACATACATAAATACATTTATATATATGAGGTTAGAATCGCGTGATGAATTTATTTCATAATTATGCTGTTGAGTACCAAAAAAATTTATCTGAAATGGCGAAATCCGTCATTTCACTTTTACACCCACTATTAATATAATACTATTATTTTTAAATTTTCGTGCCTTTCCAAGGGTCCTTTTAGGACGGATAGGGTATGTTATATATATATATATTATTGTGTAATTATGTATATATTGGTATTGACAATATTGCCCTTGTAGGATATATATGTGTTAATTTTTGAATGAATATACAATTAATTATTCTCCCAAAATACATAACATAATATTAGAGTCTTAGGTTTCAAGTTCAAATTCATCGTTCTCATTTCACATATGCATATGAAAGTTTCGCGCATACCTCTAATTACACCTGAGGGAGCGTGTTGGAACTACTGTTTGCGGATAAATTAATTATATTTTTCCCTAATAGTTTGAACTTTTAGGTGCAACGGTGATTCTATCGTATCTGACAAAATAAATATAGACTTGATGGAAGGAGTATTATATACATATATATATATATATATAATATATGCATATTCCTCTTCTCAGATTGAGTATAAAACGCCATAAAAGTGCTTCGAACAGTCAGTCAGGCATTTTGTCGAACAGGTGGCGCGCGTGACTCTATTCCAACTTGCAATTTCTCGAGCCGTAAAACTTACACGAATCCCAATCAAATTAAACCCCTTTTCCAGCCCTTTCCAAAGAACCATTTGTTTTTTATAGGTTGCCTTCGATTATAAACTATTATTCGTTGCTCTCCTTATCAATGATAAAAAAAAGAAGATGGGGAAAGAAAATCCATGTTTTGTAATTATTTTTATTATTATATTTTGTCTCGCCGTCTCCCTACGTCACACAAAAAAATATTTCAAATTAAAATAATAAACAAACAAATTTGTAGTTCTTATTGATGGTAACAATGAATAATAGTGATTTCAATTTAAAATATTAAAAAAAAAAAAAAAAAAACATGTTTGTTGTTAAAGATAACAATCTCATTAATCCTCAATTTAAATTTGGATTAAATATTATCTCATCTATGGATATACTTAATCAATAAAGAGTGTTCGTTTAGTATTATAACTTGAGTTTTTTTTTTTTTTTTTTTTGGGGCAATGGATAGAAATCATGTTATTTAAATAATATATTATATTGAATTTGAATACTATATGTGTTGATGTAAAGAAAATATAAACAAATGTTTGATTTAATTTTTTAGAAAAAAAAATATTACATAATAAAAGTTTGTAAAATTTTTCAAAAGAACAAACATTATTATGTGTATATTTTTTACACGAAAGGGCTATAGACAACATCAAAACTTCATGTTAAGAACCTTACTAAGAGGTTGGTAATGATGTCTCGGAGAAGAAGAAGAACCACCAACCTCGTACTTGGTCCCGAATTCCCGCGAAATTGTGTCCTCACGGAGCGCGGCCATTGCCGCCTTCCGCCTCTCCTTGTGCACCTTTTTCTTCTTTATCTTCTCCTCCAACGCCAGCTTCGCCTTCTCCGCCGCCTCGGCCCTACTCGCCGCTTGCTCCACTCGTATCCTTAGCTCTCCGATTTTCGCCATCGCCATTTCCAACTCTTTCTTCGAATTTTCCTCCGTCACAACCTATTAGAGGAATTAAAAATAAGTAGATGTAAAAACGACGCGCGAGGAAAGCTCTCGACTTTTGTGTTATTTCGAATGTTATTTATACCCTGTCCGGTAAATTTATCCTATTGGGGCCGACACTGAGATGACAGTAAATATTTAATTGAAAATATGATAAAAAGAAGTTGAAAGTATGTACGAAAAATTTAAAGATAATAAAGAGAGAAAATGAGAGTAATGCGTAATAATGATAGTGACAATTATAAGAAATGAATAACGTATTACATAACGTATTACAAATCAAGATAAAAGAATAAAAATACTTCGATTGTGTTTTATAATATTAATATAATGACATTTATATATAATATTATACAAATATAAATATATTTGTAATATTAAGTACAATGACGTAAAATATAAATATAATTTTTGCAAGCTGACGAAGCGAGTATTAGATGAAGCACAAAGTTACTGTTGAATTTTTTATCTATGTCCAAATTAGTGGGTAAAAAATAAAAATAAAAATAAATTTGGCGGATGAAAAGAGACGATGGAGAGAGTATTATTTAAGAATATAAAAAGTCTGAATAGAGAGCGTTTTATTTTAAAGAGACAAGAATACTACCTCCGTCCGACTCTAAGGATTTCATTTACTTTTTGCGTGTTGATATTTGAATATTAATTATTCTATGAAAACGTAGTACAAATAAAGAGAAAATGACAAAAATACTTCTATTAGTTTCTTATAATACTATTATAATGATATTTGTGTAAAAAAACTATACAAATATAAAAATATTTTTAATGTTAAGTACAATGACGTAAAAGGTAAATGAGACCTTTAAAGCCAGACGGAGGGAGTACGACACCGTAGTTTGAATATTATGAAAACCTTTTTGAAAACATAGACAATAAAAATCGTAAATTTTTCGTGCTCACCTCTTTTCCGATTTTGGGCTCGTGGGCCTCGACTAGGCGATCCACCTCGAGGTAGCTCTCGTGATTTTCGACTTTGTCGCATTCTTGGCGACGGATTTCCTCATCATCACCGTGTTGCATACGCGTCGCTTCTTTTAGCTCACGGTTCTCTTTCTTGATCTCTTCGGCCTCCAATCCCATTTGTTGGAGGGCGTTGTATAGTGCCGACTTCTCGGTTTGAGCTCGTGCCTCGGTCGCCTCGGCTGCGGCGAGTTTAGATCTCCCTTTGTGTACCTCAAATTTTAACAAAGCTATCTCTACTTGAGCATCATTCTCCCTTTCTTTACTCTTCTCCAACTCGAACTTCACATCCTCGATTTCCCGAGTTAGTCCGACCACCTCAGCCTTTGCCCGGCCGAGTTCACTTTTAATATTTTTCATATCCGTCTCTAGCGTCACGATGCTCGCCTTTTGGCCAGAAATCTCTTTTTCTCGAACTAAAATATCTTCTCTTAGCCTTTTTACTTCGTAAACACCTTCTGAGACGGCTTTCTTAGCCGAGGCATGAAGTTCGGAAACTTCCTTTAGTTCACGTTGCAACGAGACAATATAATCCGATTTTTCCGCCATTTGAGCCTCCAAATCGTGCATTCTCTTTAGCTCATTTTTTGCTGAGGATAAGGCCTCGCTCGTCAGTTCTAGCTCGGATTCTTTTTCAGACAATAAATTGGCTACTCTGCGCTCATTTTCCACAGCTTTGCTCCTCAATTGTACGATCAATTCCTCCATATCCAAAACTTGCCTTCGAAGCTCATCCCTTTTCGCATTCTCTGCGCTTAAAGCATTCTTCATTTCCTCAATTTGCGATGTGAAATCAATTTTCGCCATTCTAAGGATGGCGAGCTCCTCTCTAGAATTTTCTAACTCGGCTAGGGCGCACGTGAGTTGTTCTTGATTTTTTTGGGATTCCGAGAGGTGGCGAGCCATACAATCCATGGATGATTGAAGTTCATCGGCTCGTGCATTGGCTTCTCGGCACTCATCCAAATAGTAGTTCTTTTGAGAATCAATTCGTTTAAGTAGGATTGTGAGCTCATCCGTTATTTTTTCCCGGTTTTTGAGCTCGAGGATTGCTTGTATGTAGGCTGAGTCCTTTGCCTTTAGCTCGACTCTAGCATTCGCCAATTCTTTCTCGAGAGATTCTTGATCTTTCTTGTCCTCGAACTCTTCCTTCTATGATAAAAAATGTCGAAATAGAGCACGAAGATTAAGAAATTAAATTTTCATCTTTAAATATAAAATAAATTAAGAAAATATTAGCCTATAAACTTTACAAGTACATACTTCACAACTAAAACAATCAATCTAATTTTTTCGAATTTTCAATAAGTGGTATAAAAGCTATAAATGGCCTCCGCCATCGAAAATTTATTTTGATTTTTGTTTGTATTTAAACCGTTATTGATTAAAATTCGGCTCAATAAAGTTCGATAAAATAATAAATTTATATTTTTAATATATAATACTCCGTCTATATATCCGAATGCTTTTGCTTAATTTTTTAGTATAGTTTTGATAAAAAAATAAAATAAAATTGTTCGTTTTGGCTTCTTCCCCCCCCCCCCCCCCCCCCCATTTTTTTTTGAATAATTTGTAAATTATGTTTGAAAATAGTAAAAAAAAACATTGAAAAACTATTTTATAAATAAAGGGATATTGCAAAAAGTTTGAAACATCTCATAATAACGAAAGTTTTGTAATGAATGGAGTATATGAAACTTGAGATCCAAAAAAAAAAACAAAAAAATAGTAACAAGTTCGAACTTGAACTTGAACTTGTTTATAAAAGCTCGCGTGGAGTTCGAACATGAAATCCTTGGTTAAGACAAACCATATATAACTCACTTTTTCATCTTCATCTTCATCTTTGGTAAGCCGAGTCTCGAGATCATCATCACTTTCCACCATTGAAGAACCTAAGCAAAGCTTATATATATATAAATATATATATATTATTTAATCACTCTTCGAAAACCCTAATTCCAAGGCGAACAATATAATTCATTAATTACAACGGTAAGAACACGCTTGATGGAGCAATGTAAGAATATGTTTGCTACTTGTCCGGGAATAAGACCAAAAACTTAAGGCGACAATCCGTATAGAATTATCATTTCAAATCGTAACTAGAAGTTTAAGTTGTTTGAAATCTAATGTTTCAGTATGAATAAATTAAAGTTATATACTACAAAATAAAATATATATACATTTTAAATCGAAAAAAAAAAAAAAAAAAAAGAAGAAGAAGAAGAAAAAAAAGAAAGAACGAAAAAGTGGCACACGCGATTGAATCGACAACCAAACGCACCCACGACACTATAGAGTTGTAGAAGATCGATCAAAAAAATTCTAAAAACTTTAGACCCAGATATATATCGAGAACGAATTAAGAAGATTAATATAAAAACATGATACAATAACAATAATTAAAGAACACCAAGATTTACATGGAAAATTAGAAAAACTTTTGGAAAAAAGATATAGGGATGAAGGAAGACAAGACATAATACAAATTAATGTAGTTCGATTACAACTTAATTAATCAGAAAGAATTCGATCGAATTCATGTATGATTTAACTTACCAAAAATATTGGGATGCGATGTGGGAATTAATCTTGGAAGAAAGAATTAAGCAAGAAATATTTTAATTTATTGATTAAGGATGTAATAATAAAGAATATATGTATATAATTATTGAATGGATCGATGGAGATGATATATATATATATAATGTGCAGACGGCTAAGCATTCGATTTCTTGTAAGTATCGGTGCTCCACAAGATGACTTTTTATTTCTTGGACAGCCGCTTCAGATTAATTAATTAATTAAATTTTTGCAGCTCTTTATGTTACAGTACACAAATTAAAAAATAATAATATTTTAATATAAAAAATTAAAAATTAAAAAATTAAAATTTAATAGTAAAAAATTTAAAATAATGACAAATTAATTAGTTACTCCGATACCGTACTCTATAGACACTGTATTTTATGAGGGGTGTAATTAATAGATAATTAAGAATGTATTAGTGAAAATAATTATCCTATAATATAAATAATTATAAATTAAGATTAAAATAACTAATTAGTTTAATTAAAATTAAAAAAAATAAAATTTAAAAATTTAAAATGAGATTAAAATGTGTAATTATTTTCAAAAAAAACAAAGTGACATGGTATGTGGGACGGACAGAAACAGCAACGTGAATATGATATCTGGGACGGAGGGAGTATTATTTATTAAAAGAAAATTAATAAAATTATAAATAAGTATAATGTTATTCCTTCCGTCCTATTGGTAAGGTGATATTTATTTTTTGCACATAAATTTTTTAATTATAGTATTATATTAGATTGTAGTAAAAAAGACAAAAATATCCCTATTAGTATGGTGTAATAAAAAATGAATGACACTTGTGTAATATATTGTAAGTTGAAAGGGTATTTATTATGTTAGGTAAATAGTACAATTACTAAATTAGAAAATAGTAACCTTGTTTTGGGACGAACGAAAATAGAAAATAGTAACTTTTTAATGGGACGGACGGAGTATATGCATTTTCAGATATTTTTAATACTTTGAGTATTGTTGTAATACTAATGTATTTGTTTGAGGGTTCCTAGAGAACTTTCATTATTCTCTTTTCTTTTTTTTTTATTATTTTTTTTTATTTTATCTATTATATTAAAAATATATTTCCACAATCCGTCAAATTGAGTCCATTTGAAGTAGACACGAAAATTAAAATATATATATACTCCCTCCGTTATACATAATTTGTTCGTAACTTGTCATTTCTATTTTTTAAAATATAATTATACACTTTAATCGCATTTTAAATTTTAAAATTTATAATTTTCTTAATTTTAATTAAACTATTTACTTATCTTAATCTATAATTATTTTTACTAATACACTTCTTAATTACTTACTAATTATATTTTACCTAAATTCTCGTGTCTACAGTAATACACTCATATTACATGGGACGGAGGAAGTACTTTATTGAAAAAGTAATAAAAATTGTTAAAGGTATTTATGAAAATTAGATTAAGGTGTGATTTAATTAACCTCAATTAATTTTTTTTTTAATTTTCAATATATATAAATATATTTTATTATATCATAAAAAATCAATATTCAATATAAAGTATAATTTTATATTATCAATATAATTTTTATAATAGTACTTTACATCAAAAAAATACTCTTTTCGTTCACATATTCTATAATATTTCAAAATAGATTATAATTACATGCATTTATCATATGGTACTACACAAATAAAATAAATAAATACTCTCTTCGTCTGGTTATCTCATTTACCTTTTGCGTCATTGTATTAACATTAAAAATATTTTTATATTTGTATTTTTTTTACACAAATGTTATTATAACGGTATTATAAGACAAGTATTTTTACCCTTAATTTTTATTACGTTTTTATATAATAATTAATATTAAAAAATTAAGCCAAACGTAAATTGAACCTTTAAAGCTGAACGAAAGTAATATATATTTTTCTCTCATCATATCACATCATTTTCACTTTATTCAATCTATATAAATTTTTGTGCAAAAATATTTAAATTTTTGTGCAAAAATCAAAATATTTAAATTTTCAATTTACTCGTTATATATTTATTTATTTGTATAGAAGTTGTTTAAATTAATATTTTAGATCTATATAGTAAGAAGATATATAAATAATCAAATTTACCTATTATTAAAGATAAATTTGTTAAATAATAATGATGATAATTTTGTAATAATATAGTAAAAAATTTAAAAATTATTTAGAAAGTACAATTACTAAGGAAAAAAAAATGATAAATTAATTATTTGTACATATTCAAATCCAAATAGATATATATTTTTTTTTATTTCAAACTTAAAAAACTATGGATAATATTTTCAATCAAATATATTTGTTGAATTTATGAACAATTATATTATTTTATTTTAACTAATAATATTCTATTTGGTACTGTTATTTTAATTTACCTTATTGTTTTCTTATCATTCTTTTAGATAAATTTTTTATAATACTTTTATTTTATTTATATAATTTTATTGAATAAAGAATACTTTTATTAAAAAAATAAATCAAATTAAGGTACTCCTTTTTTCCATTTAATGAAAAATGACCTCTTTCTAATATTGACGGACACTCTTAACAAATATAAATTAATTTAATTAAATTTTTAATATTTATAAGCAACTAGCTCAAAATATTTTATTTATATCCATCATCAATTAAAAAATATTTTATTTATCTTTAAAAACTCCCAATTTTCTACAAAATTATTATATAGTTCCATACAATACAATAGTCTTGTTTATCATTTTTGTTCGTCTTAAACAATAGTTTTATTTTCGTAAATAATCATATCACCATAAAACTACTCATATTTTTTCTTTTTCATTACACAATTGTCATTACTTTTTACACTAATATACTCACAAGGTAAAAAAGTCTTTTATTTATATTTTTTTACCCACTATCCATTTAATATCAATATTTTTTAAAATTTCGTGTCCAACCCAATTAAAACTATATTTATGGGATAAAAAAGTAAAATTTTATCGGTGATATCTCTATATATATTTTATTGAAATATAATATTTAAATATATATTTAATTTTTTTAATTATTAAATAATTAATTATCTTATATAAATAATTCGTTATATTGTACTAACGAGTGAGTATTATTTAAATATAAATTTAATTCAATATTCTATTTACAGAATAAACAAATCCACTCATTTTGAAAAGTTGAATTTAGTCCCGGACCTCGTATCGAAGCTGGCGCCCACTGCATTCATACATTCTTTCTTCCTTGGGTCACTTTCCCTGCACTGCAAATGCTGCCAAATTGCCAATTCTAGATGAGCTGTTACTGGTGAGGGCGAAAGGTGTGAATTGCTTCCAACAGGGGACAAATCTCAAATTACTGATTCATTCTATTCAATTCCACAGGCGTCAAAGTGTCTTTGACTCTCGACTGGAATCCAATCTCCAATTTTTCGCAGTTCAATTCAATTCCCATTTGCAGACGGAGAGGTTTTGCCAGAAATCGAGGAATAAATGGAGAAGGCATTGGTGAAAGTGGGGAGCCTCAAGGCAGGTACATTCTGGGTTTCGAAGAAGGCCAAGGAGGAGATCTCCAATATCTCACAAGACCTCACTGTAAGTTAACTCTGTTTCTGATTCCTTCCGTTTTTGGTGATTCGATTCGTGTTTCGTTTTGGAAGTTGTTGAAATACTTGGATTTGTGTTTGTTTAATGTGTTCTTGTAGTGCTGATTGCGACTGTTCGTCGATTGATCTCATCGGTCGATGTGTGAGATTGGTTTTTAGGTTTTTGAAATCGAAATTTGGGGGGAAATTGATTGCTATGTAGATTTCAAGATTTAGTGTGGATTGGAAGGTTTTGGAATCGATTTGAACCTTGTTCTTCGCCAGATTTGATGATTCCATGTTTAGAACACTGTGCAAGAAGATAGATCCAATGTTTTGATGGAATTAGATTATTTCCAGGGATGAAATTTTTGGACATCTTTACTAGATTCCAGTGAGCAATGTCTGATTTAGATTGTCGATTCTACGCTGCTTCTGTAGTAATTCTTCAGCTATGTTTTAAGTTTCGACCAATTATGTATGGATCTGATAAAAAAAATTGGTAGATAGGATGAGATGTTGCTAGATTTGATCAATCGATTAATTACCCTTAGAACCATCCACTGCCGGATTAACTATTGTTGTGTCCTTCTTTCAACATATCTTCTCCTTACCTTAACAAGAGAATAATGGTAATGTTTGTAGTCTGTTTCATTGATTCTCCATTAATGGTTTATGTGGTCTTGCATTGTAGCAATTTATCTTGTCTAGTTTTTGTTAGGGGATTTGGATTTTTGTTTGGAATTTAAATAGTAAAAATTTTGAATTTAAATAGTTGTAAGATGTGATATTTTGAATGTAATAGGTTTTTTATTTGATTTTTTTGGAGGGGGGGGGAGGGAATTTAATAAATAGTAGAAATTTGGTGAAGTTTGATATAAGATCACACTGAGAAGTTACTCTATTGTGCTGTATGTGTATGTATGTACTTGTCGTTTAATATATAAGCAATGGTAATGTTTGTAGTCTGTTTCATGGATTTGCCATTAATTGAAGTAGGAGAGTCCTAATGTCTTGCATTGTCGTTCGCATTGACCAAATGAAGTAACTTTACCCTTAGCTGAATTTATCAAGAAGTTACACTATTGTGTTATGTGTGTATGTATGTGTATGATTTGGTTGAATAGTTTTTTTTTTTTTTTTTTTTTTTTTTTTCAATAATGGTAATGGTAATTCCTGTAGTTCGTTTCATGGATTAGCCATTAATTGAAGTATGGGAATCGTATGGGTTAGGTGCTCTTGCATTGTCATTCTCGTACCCTTAGCCGAATTTATTAAGAAAAAGTTACTATATTGTGTTGTGTGTATATATGTATGTATACAATTTGTTGAATAGAATTTTTTTGTCGTTCAATACAAAAGCAATGGTATTGTTTGTAGTTTGTTTCATGGATTTGCCATTAATTGAAGTAGGAGACTCGTACTGGTTAGGTGCTCTTGCGTTGTCGTTTGCATTGACCAAATGAAGTAATTTATCTTGTCAAGTTGTTTTTACCCTTAGCCGAATTTATTAAGAAGTTACTCTTTTGTGTAGGATTTGGTATAATGGATTTTTTTTTTCGTTCAATATATAAGCAACACAAAACAAGATTACGATATAGTTCACGATATTTACAATATGGTTCAACCCTTCCGACAATATATTGATCTTTGTATGATTTAGAGCGTATATGTTATGTATGTAAGCAAATGTTTTATACCTTTCAACGGCGCGATTCTGAAATAAATTCAAGTTTGATCCAAACTCTCACGTGTATATATGCACTCCCATTGTTCTTAGTTGAATCACGAGAAAAAAAAAAAGTATATATTACATTGCTGCTAATTGGATATCGACTTCTTTCATTATTACCCGAGTTTGGTTTGTATCTTTCTTTTCATTTGATCTTGTATCTATCTATTGCAGACATTCTCAAACACCGTCGAAGAGAAAGCAAGATGGGTTTTCAACAAGCTCAAAGGTATGGTTTTATTACAATCAAAACAACGTTCACTAAAATGGCTGTGTTCTTTTAGTGTTTACAAATTTTTAGATTTTTATTGTTAGTTATTATGAATTGTGGAAGTATTATTACAATATTTGAGTTTGTTGATTTCTTAGATATTTTGTGACGAAAATAATACTTTCTTGTCCACTTTATAAGAATATATTTAGAGTTTAATAAATACGGTATTTTAATGACAGTAGGTGATAGTTTAATATGTAAAGACTATTTTACCCTTATAGTTGTAAAATTATTATGAGGGTATTGATGTAAATAAGTACTACCTCCGTATGTCCGGCTCTAAGTGCCACGTTTACTTTTTGCAGGTTGATGTTTATATATTAATTATTATATCAAAATATAGTAAAAATTAAGAAAAAATGACAAAATACTTCTATTAGTGTCTTTGTACATAAAAAAAATATATAAATATTTTTAATGATACAAATGGTAAATACAATATTAGAGGTGAACGAAGGGAGTACGAGTGTGAGAGTATTTGCAACATGTAGTAAGGTTATACTAAAAAATGAAATGAATAGTCGGGATTAAATAATCTCATTCATTTCTTGTATGCATCCTTTCGCTTTATCGTATAAATATTTTTCTCAGGGAAGCCGCAAAAATCCCTACCGGATCTCCTCCGGGAGCACAACCTCCCGCCGGGCCTTTTCCCTCAAAACATAACATGCTACGAATTCGACGAGGGGAAATCGAAGCTCGTCGTGTACATGTCCTCGCCGTGCGAGGTATGCTTCAAGGACTCGTCCGTCGTGCGCTACTCCACGCGCGTCAAAGCCATTTTGTCGAGAGGGAAGCTCTCGAATGTTGAGGGAATGAAAACCAAAGTCTTGGTGTGGGTCAAGGTCACCGCCGTCGCCGTGGAGAATTACAAGTCGGATAAGGTGTGGTTTACGGCCGGGGTTAAGAGGTCGAGGGCGAAGGACGCCTACGACGTGCCTCGCGACGGGATTAGAGTCGACGAATTTTGAAAAATGTGGTATGTATGTATATCTTTTCTCTCTCTCTTTATGTTTGTTTGTTGGGTTGGGTTTATGAGTTGCTCGATTGGTTTATTTTGCTGCCAAATTTTAATAAGTGCGAAAGTTCGTCGCGAATGATGTTGAAAGGCACGGTGATATGTAGATTTGTCGTGTTTTGGTCCTCGACAATATTATTTTGTTCGCGTTTGTGATCGAGATCGATAAAATGTTTTAATTTTTGGATTATTTAAAAATTTAGTTTTAATCAGGTATATATATTTCATCTTAACAAAATTTAAAACATTTTAGAGACATACTTTGTAAAGATTTTATTTTTGATTTACCATTTCAAAACAAAATTTCCTCTAAACAAAATATTATATCAAATGTTTATTTTTTATTTATTAAATAAAAATTTAATTTTACCTTCAAAATACTCTCTTCGTTTTACATAATTTTTCTCTATTTTCTATTTTCGTTCGTTTCATGTAATTTGTACATTCCTTTTTCGGAAAAGTTAATTAGACACTTTAATCATATTTTAAATATCATAATTTATAATTTTCTTAATCTTAATTAAACTATTAAACTATTTAGTTTTTAAATTTTAATTTATAATTATTTTTATCAAACACTAAATATTTTAACTAATATTTTGTTTAATTACTTACTGATCATACTTTATTTAAATTCTCGTATCCACATTACCGTGCTCAAAATATGTGAGACGGATGAAGTATCATATAAAATAATTATTTAACTTTAAATTTTACTATTCAAAATTAAGAACATATTTAAGAATATCATATCAAACAATTATTTAATTTTAAATCATACTATTCAAAATTAAGAACCTATTTAAGAGCACACCTTAGTGATCAACCCTAAATCCAGCCACTAATTCTAATTACTTTAAAGAAGAAATAATTGTTATGTTTATATATATATATATATATATTTGAAATATTTTTATATTCCCTGATAATTGACTTATTTTATTAGTGAAATAATATCTAAGGTAATAATTTTTATGATATTATTTTATTATTTTTTTATATAATTAATAATATTGATAATTTTAAAATAAATTTAATATATATAATAAAAAAATAAAATATATATTTAAATATTTTAAAAATTATATACAATATAAATATATAAAATTTTCTATAAAATGGTTTTGAACGAGTGCAATGTGATATATGCTAGTATATTATATATTATACAGTTAATTAAGCTACATCCCGGTTCAAAGGGGTGAGGTCTTTGGATTTTGTAGTAGATTAAAAAATAATAGTATTTTATTAGTGAGTGGAAATGGGTAAAAGGTTCACCTTATGTGAAAAAGTAATTGTATGTGTAACGGTATATTTGTAATTTAAATAAAATTTAAATGTATTTTTGTATTGATGTATGATTATTTGTACTGAAATAAAAAAGTAAGGAGTGGGACAAACTAAAAAAAATGATAAAATTTGTACTTTGACTTGGGACGAATAGAGTATTTATTAAGTATATTTTGATTTAGTATGTCTTATTAAAAAAAAATGTACGAATTGTTATGTGATGGAAAAAAATAGAAAAATATATAAGATGGAGGAAGTATTAGAGAATACTCCCTAATTGTGATTTTGTACTTGATATTCTAAATATTATTATATTTGTATAATTTATTTCATAAATATAATTAAATTTGTATTATAAAAACTAATAGAGGATAATTTTTTTAATTATTAAAAAGATCACAAAATAATAGGACTACATATCAAAATTACAGAAATCCAAATTAAGAAATGAATCCATCCATCAATGGCTGCTTGTACTTTTGGTTGGACTTCTTTCCGTGGGAAGGAAGGAAGGAAAGAAGGAATAGCTTGAGCCATGAGCTCAAGCCCGCGGGGATCGCGCAAGGTCGGGGAAGACAGGCCGCGATTCTTCGACGCCAAGGCCAAGACCATGTGCTGGGCCAACGCCGACACCGTCGCCGGCCGCCACCCCGACCGGTGGCGCAAGGACGCCGCCGGGAACGTCGTCTGCAAGCGTTTCTGCAACTGCCAAGGATGCCTCTGCTTTGAGTACGACCACATTCTTCCTTATTCCAAAGGTCCGCCCTCCAAATCCCTAACAAAAACCGTTATTTGATCGATTGATTTGATGTTCAGTGTGCGAGAATTGTGCGTCTCTTTGTGATGATTTTTGGAAATTCTAAGGAAATTAGGGTTTGTGTTTCTGGAGCCGATTGATTTTTTAAATTAGGGTTTAATTATTGTTGCAGGGGGTGAGTCTGTGGCGGAGAATTGTCAGATTCTCCAAACGAGGGTAAACAGATTGAAGGCGGATAAACAAGAAATTGATAGTTCTCAGCTGAAAGGCTACTCGTGTGACATTCAGTTCACTGGTAACTCATTGCTATTGCCTCCTTCCTTCCTTCTGCCATTGTTTCTATGCTTATACTGTTAATTTTGAAAAAAAAAAAAAAAAAAGATTGTGCTTCATTGAATGATATAGAAATTAATTTCCATTCTTTGCAAAGTGAAAACAGATTTTATTAATAGAAAGAGATCGATAGTGTTGTGTTGTGAAGCCTTAGCTGTGCATCCAAGCCCTTCTTGTCTTGATTGTCCTATAAATGTTAACAGTTTTGGGCCAGAGATTGCTGGGGATTTGTTGTGCCACATCTATAAATACTTATTGTACACTTTTTGGAATTAAGAAGACCGAAAACACTAGTAAAAATACTTAACTTAGCTGCCATCATGCATAGTTCGTCGAACTAGGTGACCAAATTATGTCTTTCACGTGTGCATTTGTATCTTGATTTCCTAAATTTCATTACAAATAGAGCCAGCATTTCCCCTAGCATAGCACTTAGCAAAATAATATGTAAATTCGATTGTGCTTTGGGAATATGATGATGAGGGGAAACTTTTCGAATTCGATGGATAGGCAGAGCTTGTTTATTTCAGATTTTAGTTGCCATGGAGGTTTAGAACCTAGGATCCAACCAAGGGCGTTTGTCGGGTCACATTCCACCGTGATTTTTGGAAGAGGACGTACCAAACTAGAGCATAAAATTGGTGCTGGGGGGTTTGCGTTTGTTCATTGATAATGTACGAATAAATTTGACAACCACAGGCATCTTAAAATCGGGAGACATCCGAGTACATTTCGGGTTGAGTGTACCAGGAGAAGCATGCCTCTAATACCATGTTACATTTTGCAGAATTTCAGAATCACATATTATTAATAATGAAATCGGACCTATGGATTCATAATCAAATTGAGGGCGTGCTTTAGATTCAAAATTGAAACAAACTTCCCTTCATAGTTTTAACAAAGACCATATACTTGATACACGAAACACTTACCAAACTACGACTAATTATCATTCTACAGTTCCATTTTTGTTCAGTAGCTGCCGTTTTTTATACTTACAATTAGTTTTTGATCGACAGACAGGGAGCTCGATATTATTGAAATGGCAGTCTATGGAGATGTCATTAGGCCAGGCAACCAATGTCGTTGCAAAACCGTTGCTGAAATGCTTGGCAAATACAAGCCGAAAGACCAACTGGCTGCCTGCAAGTTGCCCTCCAACGACAGCCCCGTCTCCAAATAATGATTCAAAACCCCAATTTGAAAAGGTAAACAAAACATTCTGGTCACTAAAACCACATTCAATATTGTTGTCTGTGCCTTACTGTCTACTTGCATCACCATTTATGTCGATCATAGATTATTGAAAAGATCAATTCACCTTTGCTGTTTATAGATCACTAGATTGTTACAATTTGCAAGAATTTGATAGGCAGCTGAATCTACATTTACTGATTATCAATTTACCATACTTAAATACCAGATATGTCTTTCATATTTAGCAATTGAAATCTTCGGGTGTGTTTGTTTGTGGGTTTGGATTTTTGAATAGTAAACTATTGAATTTGAATGGTTGTTTGATGTGATATGAATAGATGTTGATGTGATGATTTGAATGTAAAATAAATTTGTAGTATAATATAAAAAAAGAAAAGAAATTGTTTGATTTGATATTTTTTTTTAAAAAAAAATTGAATAGTAAAAACTTGTCGTAAAATCCACAAAAGAACACAACTTAATATTTTTATGCCCTTCCTTGGTGATCAATAACAAGTACTCTCTCTATCTCCTCTCATTCAAATGTGTACGTTTACTTTTGGTAGTAAATTAAGGAATTATAGTATTTTATTTGTGTGTCGGTTTGTAAAATAAAGTTTTGATAAGTTTAACCCTTTGCAAATATATGGTCTATTTCGGTATTGAAAGTATATGCCTATAATCAATGTGAAATTTAAAAGGTATTTTGATATTAGCGTGGGGATCACTTTTCCTATAATAGAAAATGTATAGATTTGTGTGGGGTGGACGAAATGACAAAATTTATACATAACGGTATCTTCATGAACTGTTGCTAGGAATTTAGGTTGTGTTTTGAAGTTTTAGAGAATAGTAAGAAGTTGAATAAAAATAAGTATTTGATACGATAAAAGTAAGTATTGGACGTGATATATTGTGTATAGAATATAGGGTTTTTTTATGTAATATTTTAAATAAAATATACGTATTTGATATGATATAAATAAATATCGGATGTGACATTTTGTATAGAATATAAGTTATGTAATGTTTTGAAGAATATGTTGATGAAAGAGTAAAAAGTAATTTGGACTAAAGAGTGTTTGTTTTTATTATTTTTAGTTTGAAGTATTTTTTTATAGTATTAAATATGATAAGGTGTGTGTTGGTAATATAAGAAATGATGTTTTGTATGTGTTAATTCTTTTTCGCTGAATTGCACAAAATTTACGCGTGGTTTCATGAAATTGCGTCAAATCCCCTATATTTCTAAAATTGCGTCAAACTACCTCGTGGTTTCATAAATTCTGCGTCTAACCCCTCGGCAGTCCTTATTTAACGGTATTTGACCTAAATGCGCTCAAACTGTCAATAAATTTTAAAATTTCAATTTCTAAACTCTTAAAATTACAAATACATTTATTATTTTTTTATATTTAGCCTCAAAAAATAATAGATATACTAAAAATAGTTATTTTTATTTCTACTGTTTTTTATGCTAAGTATAAGAAAAATAAATATATTTGTAATTTTAGGGGTTTAGATTCTGTGATTTTAAAATTTATTCGCGCGTATTGAGGTCAAATACCCTTAAATAAGGATCGTCGAGGGGGTTAGACACTTTGTGAAACCACGAAGGAGTTTGTCGCAATTTTAGAAATATAGGAAATTTGGGCGCAATTTCGTAAAATCACAAGTGAATTTTGTGCAATTTAGTCATTTTTTTTACTGAATAAGGTACACATACTAAATACTTTATTGTGTGCATATATTGTATTCTTTTTTTTTTAATATTAATCGAAAAATACATACTCCCTCGGTCCCATAAATATAGTCTTAATTGGATTGGGCACGAGATTTAAGGAATATTGATATTATACTGGTAAAAAGTATAGATAAAAGACTTTTTTGCCCCTACGAGTGTATTAATGTAAAAAGTAGTGGCAATTGTATAATAAAAAAAAATAGAGGTAGTTTTATAGTGATATGGTTATTTATGGAAACAAGACTATTGTTTTGAGACGGACAATTTATTGAAAAATATTATATGTAAGGTAGAAAGTATAGGCTGGCATGTATAGACTCTCTCTCTCTATATATATATATATATTAGTAAATTGAGCTGAAGATTCCCACCCTAAACCAGCAGACAATTTTGTGTAACATTCAAACTGTAGTTAAGAGTAGGTGAGATTCCATTGACTGATGCCCAAAACTATTACACTCACAAGTCAAGCTTCATCAACATGTGACAAAACTTCCATTTTTTAATAAATTTGCCATTGAATTAGCTCTCCACTTTGAATTTTTAAGTTTTAACCAATTCAATTTTGGCTCCACAATTTGTTAGTAGAGTGATCTTAGGGTGTTTGGTACCGAGAAATGAGGCCGGAGAAATAAAAATAGTCTCATTTCTCTTGTTTGTTTGAGTCAGATAAATTAAACTTGAGAAATGAAAATAGAGAAATAGAGAGAAATGATGTTGCAGTATTTTATTTATTTATTTTTTTGAATTTTCTTTTATCTTTTTTATACTATTTAATTTTTATACCTTTTTAAAATTATATTATTTTAATTTTACAAAAATCAAATTTAATTTATTGTTATTAGCGGAGTGATCTTAAGGTGTTTGGCACAGAGAAATGGAAATAGTCTCATTTCTCTTGTTTGTTTGAGTTAGAGAAATGAAACTTCGAGAAATGAAAGTAGAGAAATAAAGAGAAATGATATTGCAGTATTTTTATTTTTTTTTTGAATTTTCTTTTATCTTTTTTATATTATTTAATTTTTATACCTTTTTAAAATTATATTATTTTAATTTTACAAAAATCAAATTTAATTTATTGTTGAAGTATTTAATTTTTGTGATTTTGTAAGAAATTGTACTAAAATACAATCTTAAAAAATATCATATATATTTTATAATTTTTTTTAAAAAAATCACCAAAATTTTTTTCATGAATTTTCATTCGTTAGAACTCTTTTTTTTTATCCCCTTAATCATTTATTCTTGTTTAATCCATTTATAGAATTCTCCGTTTTACCAAACGAAGATAAATAATTTTTATTTCTCTCCAATTCTATTATCACTCTCATTTCTCTTCAATTTTATTCTCTGTACTAAACGTCATCTTAGAGTCTCCAATAAGCTGACTTACTAATTTGAAATAGTCGATTAATGATCAAAAATATGGTATGGATTCGAAAGATTTTTATCCTATTTTTTACTATTCATAATTTTTTTATTTAAAAAAAATGAATGAGATATCTAGTTTTTACTTTTTATATAATTTAAAAAATTAATTTTATATTTAAAATATTATATCAATTTTTATTTATATCAAAAATCACGCTTGAAACTATTGTAAGAAATGGTAGCAATCTTTATATAATAATAATAATAATAATAATAGGAAAATGTTAGTGAGTGAAAAGGGGTATCCTCTTAGATACACTCATAGGTGATTGAGTAGTGGGTACCCACCCACCCTACTCTAATAATATTATCACCAACCAAACCCCTTAATATTATGAAGCAAAAAATATTAATATAATTTATATTTCCTTCTCAATATATGGTTTCATTTATTTATTTTTTTTATTTAATATTAAAATTATTTTTATATTTGTATAATTTTTTATATAAATATCATTATAATAATATTATAAGATACTAATTAAAATATTTTTATTTTTTTTTAATTTGTATTACGTTTTTATATAATAATTAATATTTAAATATAAATAAATAAAAAATAAATAAAACTCTTCATAGTCAGACGAATGTAGTATTTGTTATGATTGCTTTTATATAGCCTGTTTATTTTGTGAAAATTTATTTTAGAAAAATACAAATCAACATATTACGTGCACTTATTTATTTTATATTATTTTAATAATTTTTTATATTTTATATAAAAAAAAAAAATTCTTCAAATCAAAATACAAAACAAACACACTTTTTTTTTATGATATAATTTTAATAGTTCTTTTGTCTTTCACCGCTATATTATCTTTACATTTTTATTTAAAATGATTCTATAAATTGAATTATTTATTTAAGGTAAAAAGGAAAATTAGGACGTGTTTGTTTGGGAATTGAATTTTAAATACACTATTTATTCCATTTTTTTCTTCCAAAAATATTAAATCAAACATCTATTTTTTAATTTTTTATATTATACTAAAAATCAATTTTACATTCAAAATATCACATCAATACCTATTTATATCACATCATATAACTATTCAAATTCAAAATTTTGACTATTCAAATCTCAACTCAAAATTCAAAATCCCTCGACAAACACACCCTAGGTATAAATGAAATAAAGTTGTAAATATTTTAGAATTGTTTAAGTTAGAAACTAATGCAAATATATTGAGACCCTAAACCCTACAATAAATAGGATGCCCATTCATCTTCTTATATGATTTTTTTTTTTTTTAATTTCAAATTGAAATTAACACTATATATTTTTATACTGTATTTAATAAATATATAATATATTTTTTTACAAAATAATCTCTACAGTGTCTGCTACACCGTAGACACGGTATTTTAGGAGATAACTAATTAATTTAATTGAAATTTTAAAAAATTAAAAAGTTTAAAATGAGATTAAAGTGTGTAATCATTTTAAAAAAAACGAAAGTGACATGGAATGTGAGACGAATAAAAACAATAACGTGGACATGATATGTGAGACGGAAGGAGTATATTTTTTAAATATTATTTAAATAAACATTGAATAATATATCATTTTAAATCAATTTAAAATTATGAGCAAACAAAACATTAGTTTTGCTTAGTTTAATTTAGTGAAGCTGTTGGGCAATGAATAATGATGGATTCCCCCCACTACACCTACCCTTCATTACAATGTGAATTTTTTTTATTAAAAAAAAAAAAAAAAAAAAAAAAAAAAAAAAAATCTAATTGTTATCATGTAATTTTATGATTTATTAAAGAAATAAATTACCATTTTTTCCCACAAAACTTATGTCCAACAATTTTAATGTTTGGTAAAATATAATACAAAAAAATACTCTCTCCATCCCGCCATAAATGACCCATTTTTCTTTTTTTACGTTCCACAAAAAATGATTTATTTTTATTTTTAGTAATTTTATTAATCTTAAATATATTTAACAAATATAAATCAATTTAATTAAACTTCTAACACGTGTACTTACACGTATGACCCACTCAAAAACTCCTTTATTTCTATCTTTCTTCTCAATTAACATAATTTTTTATCTATATTTAAAACTCTCATTTTTTGTAAAACTAATTT